TTTGGGGCTAGAGAGATGGCTCAGTGGTTAAGAGCTGACTGCTCTTGCAGAAGACCCGGGTTCAATTCCCAGCACCCACATGGTGGCTACGAATCATCCTTAACTCCAGTTCTGGGGGAATCCGAAGCCCTCTTCTGACCTCCGTGCACTGCACGACATGGGTGCACTCACTATACATGCAGGCAGTGCACTCATACACATTAAAAAAAAATTTTTTTGAGGGGCTGGAGGTATGGCTCTTTGGGAGAGCACCAGCTAACAGATGCCAGGTTCTGGGTTCAATTTCTAGCACCACAAAATAAAAGGGGGAGGGGTTTGACATATAGGTAGGGACAGGAACAGTTCTCTAATATGAAATGCTGAAAGATTTGAAGTTCTTGGTTGTTCACAGAACTGCAAAGGATTGAGTAGGTCTCATGAGTGAGAACTTGGGCTGGGAAACACTCTAGAAACGAAAGTATTTTATGTAACCAAAGCCCCTCAAAGTGCAGCAGTCCAAGGGAGGCATCTCACCTCAGACACACATAGTGTAAGTCTTTATGAAAAGTTCAGACCACAGAAATTTAAGCCTAGGCTTAAATTTGATGCTGCCAATTATTTACTAGGCATATGACTCTGGGCATTTCCTTTTCTTTCTCTAAGCCTCAGTCTCTTGAGCAAGAGTAATATTAAGAGAATCTGTATCAGAACCCAGAACACTGAACCTAACATGTTAAGGTCTCATCATCATAACCATCATGGCTCACTGAGAATCTTGGATCTTTTCTATTCTGTTTTCTAACTCACTATGTAGACCAGGCTGTCCTTGAACTCACAGAGATCTGCCTGCCTCTGCCTCCCAAGTGCTGGGATTAAAGGCGTGTGCCACCACGCCCGGCGATCTTTTCTATTCTGTTATGTCACCAATGACTACAAGTGTGCCTAACAATGTATTTGTAGTATGTAGCATCTGACATAATACTTTACCATACATGTTTATTTAGCAGCTTTAAAATTTTTATTTATTTGTGTGTCTGTGTGAGTATATGTATACATGTACAGGTGTGTATGCGGTGCACATATGAGATGCCTGGTTTGTTATGTGGGTACTGGGATCCAACCTCTTGTCCTCATGATTGAGCAGCAAGTGCTCTTAACCAATGAGCCATCTTTCCAGCCCCTACTTAGCAGTGTTTAAAAATGGAAGCAGAATTCAATAAAATATTAGAAGACTGCCACCTTCCTTTTTTGATGTGCTGGGGACAAAACCCAAGGTCTTGAACATTCTAGGTAGGCACTCTACCACCGAGCTACAACCCCAGCCCTCATCTCCTTGTTTATAAGAAATGAGATGAAACAGCAATAGAGGGGAACCTAGGCTAGATGTCGGACGGAATTGTTCACACAGGATTGTTAAGAGAACATGTTTTCCTGTTCTGTTGTCTTAATAGATATTTAAAACATTGCATAAAACCAAACAATTCTATTTGACCTACAGTGTTCAAAAATCTGAGAAACTGGAAAAGAATGAAGGAGATTAAACACATCCAGATTGTGGTGTCTAAAGATGAACAGTTACGACAGGAAACCTCACTATGTATGGTGGAAGTTTCACTCCATCCCAGGCCCCACACACCAAGTGACAAGAACAGCCTACTTCTCCCCTTTTATCAGTATGACACCCACCATGTATGACATCCACCATATATGACACCCACCATACAGAATTATCAGAAAGAGAGGAATGGCTGTATGACACTGGCTAAATCTTTAAGTCAAAGTGCAGTTACCTCACTGGAGAATGAAATAGTACTCTATCAGTATTAGGAAGCTCTCCTGCAACCTGAATGCCTTTAAAGCTTCACACACTAGTTAAACTATAGATTTCTGGTATGAGCAATTCTTGATTTGTCCTGATGACAAGTTCCTATTCCAGAAGATAGAAGAAAAACAAAGATGTCTTTGGACCTAATCCTAAACAACAAGAAATTATAGAGGGATGGCTAGAATAAGCAGCAGTAGGATATTCTTTACAAATGATAAAACAAAGGACAAAACGAACCTAGATATTTATTTCCCTGATAGAACTTTTGGGAATGAATAATATGCCATGTTTTCCCTCAACCTTTTTAATTTCCTGGATGTACCCCAACAACACTTGCATCTCAAAGGCACTAAGCATCATTATGAGAGAAATGCCATGCGCCTGCAAAAAGAGTTCACTCCCTCTTAGGCACACCAGCTTGCACGTGTGTGTGCATATACTCTCCCCTCCCCTGGTGCTCTTGCCAAGTCCTTGTTAGACCTGATTTCAACCCTGGACGTGTTGAAGCTTTGTCTCTGGAGGCTTATAATTGAAAGGGCACACAGTGCTTGTTACCAGACCCTTGGTGCCAAATGGTGAGGAGAGAACTGATGAGACAAACTGTAATTACAGTTCCTGGGCACGCTCACCTGTTTTGCTGTTTCTGTGAGGGCAGCGGCTTCTCCCTTGCCCAGCTGCTGTACCATCTTATAAAAGAAGCTCTCTGTATTTTGCAGCAAAACGTATGGCTCATCATATTCTTTTAGTCTTCCTGAATCCAAAACCTGGTAATCAGCAGAGAGAAGGCCATTGAGACACAATGTTTTGCAGCAACATATTATAACTTAGACAATATTTCGGAAAGGGTAGGCAAGGGCAAAGACAGAGGATCTATTTGGGTGGTAGGCCTGGAGGGTGTCTAAAAGGTTTGATTACCCTGTGCTCTGAAGCAAACAAAAGCCTAACCTGACCTTTTATTATTATAATGTTATAGGAAAGGAAGAAAAATGAAAGTTCTAGACTATTATTATGGGCACTCAGCAGTCTGTGGCACTTTATACTCTACCAAGGGCACTAGTGGTAGTTAGTGTTTTTAAAACCTTTAGACTCTGAGCTTTGATACATGTAGAATGAGGAAACTTCTGGATTGAAGAAAATCAAACTCAATTTTACCTAGAAAATGGGTAATGTCAGACAAGCCAAACAATAATGACCTGATAGCAAATTGCCAAGCTAGTTTGACAGAATCCGAGCACTAGTTGGAGAAGCACTTCTAGAATTTTTTTTTTAGGGTACTGGGTTGGCTGGTAAGAGGGACTAACCTTCAGTCACAGACAAGGTTAAACTGCATCCTAAAGTCATCTCCAGCCATGCTTTGTTATCCCTGGGTGGAAAACTGGCCAAGAGAACAGCTACCTAAGCAGCTTTAGTATCATCGCTATTCACAGAAGAAATCTCTAGAAATCCAATTTTCCCTTTGGGTAAGACTAAAGAAGAAATTAAGAGACTTAGCTCTGAATTCCAGCGATCCAAGTCCACACAGTTCATGGGGATGGTGCAGGGTGAACTGCCCAGGGCCTGAGCCTCTTGTATTGCAATTTCCTTCCCTGGCTTCCTTCTCCCTCTTCCTTTAGTTGCCTGCCTTTTAGCCATTTTATTGCTCATTAATCTGTCCACTGGAAATTGAAAAGTGGAGGAAGGCGCTCTCCACTCCACATTTCTACTTATTAGTGGCTTTGGTTAATGGTTTCAGACAGAAGAGAACTGGAGACAATTGGCTCCAGTGACGTACCTAGAAAACAGTTCTGATGCTAAGTGGTACTTAGTTCTTCATTTAGGTGGTGTTTAGAATAAATCCATCTGAAGAGAGTACAGTGAAATTCTAAGCAGGACACGGGCTGTTTTTCCACATCTAGATAGTGCAGTTAATTTGGGCCCATGGTATTTAATCGGAAACATTTATTAAGTCTCATAAAGGGCATTTTCTTGTTAATCTTTTGTTTACTACTGTGAATTGCTGCTAAGGGCAGCTTTCTTAAAAGAGTTCAAGAATAATTGAATCTGTCACATCCACATAATAATTAAAATGTCCTATAATTTGGCATACCAATTTAGATGCCCCGAATGTGTAATTTTACTTAAGCATTGCATTACAGAGCACAGCCACTCCTCCTGACGTTAAAGAAGGAGGAAAAAATTGCAGTTTTAAAATACAGGTCTCTCCCATGCTAAAGACTAAGTAAGTGAGTCAAATTACTTTATAAAATGATGAACTTTCTATTTTTCAAAAGCAATAAGCAAACTTAAAAAAAATCACACAAGAGTGGAGGAGGCTGAGTTCTCTGACTGTAAAAACTGCCTGTAATTTGTAACAGGCAAAAACCTGAGATGTTTTTGTCCCTGTCCAACTTCCTACTAAATTTATTCAAATTTGAGACAGTGGCAAGTCTTTCCCCTTCCCTCAGTGTCTGAAACACATGAATACCACTCAGACCAGTAGTTCTCAAAGTGGACCATAATCTATGAAGGCACAGACAAAAACCACAATGCTCTAAAAAGGCAAGAGGATTTATAACAGAAGTGATACAAAGAACATTTTGACAAAAAATATTCTGTGCCTAAGAAATTACTGTCAACGTAATGACTGTGCACTTTCATTGGAGGTATGTGACAGAACTGTGAAGATTTGTTGTAAAGGTTGACAATTTATCTGAACGTGAATATTTTATTTACTCATTTATTCATTCATGTATTTATAGTCAGGCGACAGAGATTGAACCCAGGGCCTTGCACATCCTTTAATACTGATAGCTACAGACCTCTATCCCTAGTCCTGGAATGTGAGTTTTCACTTTTGCATGTTTACAGTTTGAAAAATGTAAACTAAAACAGACTTCTTTAATAGTGTTTTGGTATATATTAAAACAAAATACAGGTCTAGGGGGTAGTTTAGTCCTGTGTTCAATCTCTAGTCTCTCTCTCTCTCTCTCTCTCTCTCTCTCTCTCTCTCTCTCTCACACACACACACACACACACACACACACACACACACATAATATAGAATCTTAAAAGGGAACTAGGATATTGTAGCCTCAAATGGGTGAAGAAAGTAGAATTGAGAGATGGCATGCCCTGATATGTAAGCACCATACAGCAAAGAATGCAGTCACCGTGAGCTCAATGACAAAACAGCAGTCTCTGTACTACATGTTTGGGTCTCTTATAGTTCAAGCTAGACTCAAACCCTCTGTGTAACAGAGGATAATCTTGGACTCCTAGACCTTAGCAACTTCTGCCTTCATGAACTCAAGTGCTAGGAGTACAGCTGTGAACCACTACGCCTGGTTTATGTTGTGTTGAGGATCAAACTCAGGTAGGCAGGCTATCAACTGAGCTACATTTCCAGTTCCAGACTTTGTACTTGAAAAGCAAAATAAAAATGGCTATGGGCTATTTACTGCTTCTAAAGTCATTACTCTTAACTCCCCAAACAGAATGGACAAGTAAGTTAATGTCTTCCTTCTTCCCACCCACCCACCCATTCAATAAGAGCACTGCTTTAATGGAGATTCAGAGGTGAACAAGATGGTTAGTTATGCTGCACACAACCAGGGATGAAGACTGAAATGTAGGGAAGTTAAACAATTTGGCCCCACCTGCATCTATAGACAGGCAGAGCTGGGACTCACACCCATGAGAGTTTCCAGAATAGGACAGCTAGCATACTTATTATCAAATGTAAAATAATAGCAAAGGGAATTTAAAACATTTCATGTTCTAAGATATCTTTTCATTTGGATAATATAACTTTGTCTGATTTGAGAAAATATGCCTGAAAGCAGAAAGGTATCCTCTGTCTACCTTTATTTTAGAAAATATTTTATTTTTATTTTGCATGTATGAATGTATTGCCTGCATGTGTATAAGTGCATCTGTGTCGTGCAATGCCCAAGGAGGTCAGAAGAGGGTGTTGGGTCCCCTGGAATTGGAGTTACAAACAGTTGTTACCTGCCATGTTGGTGCTGGTACTCAAACCTGGGTGCTCTGCAAGAGCAGCCAGTGCTCTTAACCACTGAGCCAAGAAGTGTCCAGCCTCCCTCTGTCCACCTTCTACTACAATTTCATTATATTCAGGATTCAGATTTCTTACTGTATGCCTGACATACAGTCCCAAATGAAGAAAATTAACTTTTATTTAAACATTTAGGACTAATAAAGAATAAGCATCACATTAAAACATACTGGAAGGAAATTTAAGTGACCTTTAATTTGTGAAATTATTCAACACGTTTTTGGAACATTTACTGCATCCACATCATTAAGCCAAATACTGTGGAAAAGGCAAAGATGGATCTCGACCCTGCCTTTACTGTTCTTAAAGATAGGGAAAATACTCAAGTATCTGTCACACAGGAGAAAAAGCAAGATAAGCATACAGGGCTTGGCAACACAAGAGGTCAGAGGTTCTGAGGGAGAGCCTTGGAGGACAGAGTGGCAAAGTGGACTGGACCAATAGGCAGATTTGGACATGCAGAAATGAGGGTGGGAGTACAGTAGCCCCTCAAGACACAAACACCATGAGATCTGCCTTGAGGTACACCTGTTGCCTCCTCCAAGGCAGGTGTATATGATTTCTCCTGTTCACTGTTGTATAGCCAAAGCCTGGCACTGTCTGTGCCAAGTACCAGGCACCCAGTGCACACAGACTGAAAATAAAAGTTAAAGGAGATGAGTCTCAGCATGACCAGGTATTGTCTAGTGGTATAGGATATGAGAAGACAAGGAAGGAATGTCAAGCTTGACCAGATAAAGCAAGAAAAAGGGAAGATAGGATTAGAGAGAAGGATTCAGAGGACCACATACTTCAAGTTGACAGCTATGGGCAAGACAGAGGAAGAAGGAGGAGTCAGACCAAGAACTCTGTTGAATAGTGAAAAAGAAGAAGAAAAGAGGGTTAGGAAGATGCTGTAAGAGTCAAAATGGGATGTACCTCGTGGGGGTGGGGGTGGGGGTGGGATCAAGGATAGAATTTTACATACTCAGTCATTATATTTATAATATGATCAAATAGTTAGATCTTTTAGAACAAACAAAGCCAGTCTAAACGTTCTTTCTGCATAGAAACGTAGTGAATTTTCTACTTTTAATCTTAATATGTTTTATAAGAAGTCTCCTGAAATGTCCTGTTGGGTTTCCACCCTTCCTGGACCCAAGTAAACTGTAAACCAAACCACATATTAATGCTTATGTGAGAGCCATGCCTCAGCTCCAGATCTCTCCAGGAATGTCAACCTCAAATTGCTTGCCACTCTCTAGCAGGTTAAGGAAAAATACATTATACTGGATGAGCCAGTCAGTTATATAAGCTCAGTGAAGATGTAGTATCAGGCCAACATATCTACAGAGTCCAGGCAGCTGTCCCAGATGTAAAAATCAGATGGACCCATTGCACAATAATTTAATCTGCTTTATCCACAGGGCATAACCACTCCTCCTGACATTAGTGGGGAAAATTGCAATTGTAAAATATTGGTCTCTCCCATGCTAAAGACTAAGAAAGTACATGAATCAAATTACTTTTCAAATGATATTTTTATTTTGCGAAAGCAATAAGCAAATTTACACCCCCACACACACACGTGTGTGTGCGTGTGTGTGTGCGTGTGTGCGTGCATACAACTTACTTCAGAGGATAGCAGGGTGTCCTCAGGGAGAGGCAGGACAGTGTGAAGGTAAATGTCTATCATAGGAAATGAAAGACCAACAAAGCTTCCACTGTGGTAATAAGCAATAAAGAGATCCCACTCAGTAACAAAGGGTTGGGAGTGGAGGATGGAGTTGGACCAGGTCTGATTTGGGCTGCCAGGTGACAAAGGCACAATGGGTAAATATCCAACCTTACTGATGAAATGGGGTTCCTTGGACTTCTCTTTGACTAGACACTGTGGCATGTGGCAAGTATCACTCTTAATCCTTCCCTATTATTTAAAAACAATTATGATTCTTCTCACCTGGGAAGGTCTTGGTGGCTTAACTGCCACATCCCCAAAGTCACATGTACTGCCTATTTTATTTTACTTTGTTTTACTTTTAATTTTATTTTATAAACATGGGCCCATTATGTAGCCCAGGCTGGTTTTGAACTCACAACTCTCTAGTCCCTGCCTCCTGAGTTCTGGGATTACAGGCACGCACCACCAATGCATGGCTCACCTCCCACTCCTACACTTCTTCTTCCGGAATGCACTATTAACATTAGTTATTTTCACCCTGAATGTTTGATTCTCTCAGCATATTTCTGAAGGAACAGTTTACCTTCCTTTGGAAATATCCTAATTGTGGCCCAGAAGGCTTATCAAACAAAAGTTCCACAAAGGTGAATAACAGGATTTGAATCTGAGTTGAGTTAGTTTCGAGTTGTTGTGCTTTTCCAGCTGGGTATGTTGTTGTAGTTACTAGTTTGTTTTTTTCTGGGAAAAGAACCATGAAGAGATCTGAATTCAGAAAGAAAGGTAAAGATTATAAAGCCACAATGTAGCCTGCGAACAGAGGAGCCACAATCTGAGTTTCTCAGTCTTGCTTGTGGTCTCTGGAATTTATTCCCCAAGAATTCCCTGACTGCTGACAGAGAGCACTGACTGCAGGCAACAGCTAAGGCTAGAGACTCTAAGGAAGCATCTTTTGCTCTGGCTACTGGGAAGACCCACAGACCCACAGGGCTGTGAGGACGGAGGAGGCGGGGATTGGAAGGAAACACGTGAGCCTGAAGAGAAAGCAGCTCTCAAGTACCCAGGTAATCCTAAAAATGACAGGGAAGAAGCCATGTTTAATGTGGAGATAGTGCTGACTATCAGGAGAAAGGCTTCCTAATTTGTCTGTCTTGCTCCACTGTTTTGTGTCAACTGAGCAAATGAGGGAGATTAAATTAGCTGTCATAACGATTATACCATGTTTAATAAAGTTAAAATTGAGAGAACATCTTTATAAAATAGAATTCTAAGCCTAACACATTAACGGCGCTTAATGAACCAAAACTGGGCAAAATCCCTTTGGAGAGCCAACACATAAGCAAAGCCATTAATTAGGTCACAGTTGTTTCCCAACAAGCCTTTTGTTTGATTTACTTACAGTAAACAAAACCACATCCATCCGTCTTTGTGAGGAAGTATTCACCAGTGCAACAAAAATGTAATTATTACACCTTAAGCACTTGCAATTACAAGACTTTGATGACTCTGTTGGTTATGCCCTTCATTAGCATCTGTCACTTCCCTAGCCACTCCCCGAGCCTGGCCCCTGCCCTCACCGCATTAGGCTTTGCAGCTGATTGACTTGTCTCAGTCTTTGATGCTTTAGAATAACAGAAAAGAAAACCCCTTCTTTCTAGAAAAGGAGCAGGTATTTCTAAAGCAAGTAGAGAAATTGCTACAGCATCAAAGGTTAAAAAAAGAACACTCGTGGTTTCCTGCTATGTCTGGATCCTGAAGGTCCCTAAAGATCCATGTCCCATTAAAGGATGGTGCTAATGGGAGGTGGTGGAATATTAGTGACAGGTTTTTTTTAGGTCACTGGGTATGTGCTCTTGAAGGGGACTGTAGGATCTTAGGCCCATCCTTGTTCTTTTGCATCCTGGCCACAGGCAAGCAGATTCTGCTTTGCTGCACATTCCAACCCTGATGTGTTGTCTTCAACAGGCCAAATGATCATAGACTGAAACTTCCCAAACAGTAGCCAAAATCTTTTGCTTAAGAAGCTGTTTATCTAAGATATTTTGTTATAGTGACAGAAAGCAGGCAGACACATTGGTGTTCTCATGAACTTTCATGAAAGCCAGCAGATGATCGGAAGCTCTAGAATACAGCAGGTTTCAGGGGCTGGAAATGTGGCTCAGCAGTTAAGACCACTGGCTGCTCTTGCAGAGGACCTGGGTTTGGTTCCCAGCACCCATATGGCAGCTAACAACCATTAGTAAATCAAGTTCCAGGGGATCTGCCACCCTCTTCTGACCATGAATGATCATTGCAGGATACAGGTGCACTTACATACATTCAAGGAATACACTCATACACATAAAACACACAAAAATAAATAAAAACAACAGAAAGTTTCAACCTGGATGGACAGATCAAAGGTCAAGTACCCATCTCTAAAGGTACAGCTAAGGAAGGATTAGTTTTTGACACAGGGATTCCAAGAAGCTGAAACAACCCTGATACAGACAAAACGACACTGCTCTACCCCTCTGGGAGAATGAAACAGCACCGTCAATGACTGCTTAGGTTTGGAACATTTTCACTGGTAATTCACCTTAAAGAAAAACAGTAATGCACATAAACTTTAGCACAAAACTATGCAAAGGAATGTATCAGGTATGTTATCCACCAGCACTGAATGTATAGTTAAATACTTGAGTTATTGTTGGAAATAAGAGAAAAAATTAACAGTATTAACTTATTGGGAGTTCCTATCAGCTTCTATAAGGAGAGGTAAATTGGCAGCTCCCAGGGGAAGACTCACCAGTATCTTGTCGCTGTCAATGATGGTGTTCAGCCTGTGAGCGATGGTCAGTACCGTGCACTGGGCAAACTTCTCCCGAATTTTCTGTTGTATTAATTCATCAGTTCTAGAACCACAGAGGTTACATTTAATTTAGTAAATATGAGGATACAGGGAAAGAAGACTTTAAAGAGGTCATATATAACACTTAATAATGTTTTTTTTTTTTTTGGTCTTTTTGAGACAGGGTCTCCCTGTAGCCCTAGCTGGCCTGGATTTGCTATGGAGACTAGGCTGGCTTTGAATTCACAGAGATCTGCCTGCCTCTGCCTCTCGAGTGCTGGGATTAAAAGCATGTGCTACCATGCCCAGCCTAACACTTAATGTTAAAATGTTTTTTTTTTTTGAAAAGTAGCTCACTAGCCTGGAACTCTTTATGTAGCTCAGGCTAGACTGAACCCCAATCCTTTTACCTATGGCTTCCGAGTGTCAGGGATACAGGCATACACTACCACAACTGGCTAAATACCAGCATTTTAAGATATGCTCTTCCTCTTAAAAAAAAAAACTGAAGTCTGAAAAATCAATTTAAAAGCAATGTGAATGATTTTTTCCTCCAAATTGAAACAGAAGTAGAACTTAGGAATCTACTTCACCCAGGAGGCCTAAAACACAAGTTTAGTTTTCCTTATCTGAAATGAGTGGGACCTGGTGGGTTTTGGATTCTGAACTCTGGCATATCTGTGTACAGATGAGATACACACAGACTAAAGGTAATTTTATATAATATTTAAGTAACTCTGTGCATGAAACAGTATATTACACATCAGGGGCCTGGTGCACTTAGCTATTCCTTGGTATTAAGTCCTTCCTGTTGACTGCATTTAGAACTCTAACTCAACATCATATCCACCTCATCTCTGTACCTTGGATCCACATTTGCTGTTGCTTCATCAATGATCAATATCCGATTTTTCTTGAGAATCGCCCTGGCAAGGCACACTAACTGTCTCTGTCCAACACTGAAATTGGATCCAGATTCTGCTAATTCAGTATCCATTTTACCAGGAAGATCTTCGATGGCATCTTTAAGTTGTACCTACAGATGCAGATAGAAGAATCATATTTTCCTAAATAAACCGTTAGACAAATTTCTTAGATATTAGAACTCAAATTCGTTTTTCTGTAAACCTTTTGACAGAAAAGTCTGAATTAAGAAAACAAACTTAATGGGACTGGGTTCTTTCCATTGATAAAAAGTGTCTGTTGGTGCTGGGTCATGAGTTAACATTGCTGGTATAAATTCCATTAAAAAATATACAGGTCAGGAAAATGGAAAGGAACCATGGAGGTAAAGGGGAAGAAGGACCTGGGAGAGGGGGACAGTAGAAGACAGGTGTTATCAATGGGGAAATGGAGAAAATGGGGGTATTTGTGGGAAAAGAGGAAGGAAGGTTATACAAGGAACCATGAGGGTAAAGGGGAAGAAGGAGCCTCAGACAGGGGGAAAGTAAGAGAAAGGTATCATCAAGGGCAAAATGGGGAAAGTGGGCGTACTTTAACTGGTGATGGAGGAGGGATGGTTATACGGGGGAGAGAGAGGAGAGATAAATAATGCTTAGGTGGTATGAAAAACCAGAGGGAAATGTATTAGTTCAAAAGTGTACTGAAAAATACATATACAGGGCTGGAGAGATGGCTCAGTGGTTAAGAGCACTAACTGGTTTTGCAGAGGACCCGGGTTTGATTCCCAGCACCCACATGGTAGCTAACAACTGTCTGTAACTCCAGTTCCAGGGAATCTGATGCCTTCTTTTGACCTCCATGGGCACTGCACACCATGGGTACACTTACACACATGCAGACAATACAATCATACACATAAAAATAAAATATTAAAAAAGAAAAATGCATACAGAATGTGTGTGTGAATATATATATATTTGTGTGTGTGTGTGTGTGTGTGTGTGTGTGTGTGTCTGTGTGCATGTGTATAGCTGAATGTTGTATAACAAGAAACACAGTGCCAGACAGGAGAAACCTCCCTTTGAATTGCTGGTCAGGGTATTCCAACAGACTCCCCAAGTAACACAGGCTACTGTCACAGCCTTTGATTACCTCCCAGAACCTGAAGGTAAGAACCTATTGCTAAAGACAGGAGATACTTTGGACACAAGACTTGAGAGCACTGGAGCAAGAATTGACCTGGAAGCCTCCACCCTGAAGACTAACTCTCATAGTATCAGAGGACACTGTGCAAGCTGCTAAGGGACCACTCAGTGGTCCAACCCAGCAGTAAAAACCTAATAACCACAGCAATGACCAGTGCAGCAAACTATCATTATTGGTGCAGCAGTGGCAGTTCTTATCTTGGGAGTAATCAACAGCTATCTAATTGGACTTAGAGACCACTCAAGGGGAAGGAACTCATGTGTGGTACTGTAAACATAGCCAAATACACAAGGCTGGAGGTCACAGATCCTAGGAAAAAACCTACATCTGTCACATCCCAAGACAAACATAATTTCTTACTGCAGGTGAAATATGGATCCTTATTATTATAGACAAGTGTACCTCTCACCACTCATCAAAGAAGATTCTTTTTGCAACAGAGACTATTACAGATTTCATAACTAGTCAAACACAGAGAATAAGTATCTGTGATATGCCCAGCCCTAAGTGACACATTTACAATGTAATCTCTATATGTAAGCCTCTGGGAACATAGTGGAATGGGGGGCAGAAAGAACATTAATGCATCTCCCAACTCTGATCAGTGAAGAGTCCTCATGCAACAGACAGTGACTAACCCAGAAAGCCACAAAAGGCAAAAATGTAAAGAATAAGAGACTGCAGAGCACATGTCCCTGGACAGGACTTCTATATTAAAACTCTGCCACCCAGAGCTCAGGGACCATTGGGGAACCTGCTCACATGAACTTCCTGCAATGGTGACAGCATGTACAACACCCATGCAAACTTAAACCAACAAAAACCCAGCACAGAACTGGGGAAATGGGTAAGAAGCCCCAACCTTAGCTAAGGAACCATTGGTAGCTGATCACTGCTGGGTGAGGAAGAGTTGATCTTCTTTAAGGGAATGACGCTAAACAGGTTGACAAAGGTCCAGTGGATGAACTCACAATGTGGGACATCTTGGAACACAAACTTGACTTGATAGGTTTTAACATATATGACAGAATGCATGAAATCTGGCGAGGGGGGCATAGGGGGATACAGATAGAGGAGAGCCTAAATATGATCAAGATGTATTGTATGAAATATACAAACATTCAACAAAAATGTTTTAAAATACAGTATGGCAAACAAAACTCTTTCTTTTTAAGTTATGTGTTTGAGTGTTTTGCCTACATGTATGTAAGTATCCATGTGGTTAAATGCCTTTGGAGGCCAGAAGAGGGTGTCAGATTCCCTGGAATTTGAGTTAGAGATGGTTGTTGGCTGCCATGTAGTACTGGGAACTGAACCCAGTTTCTCTGCAAGAGCAGTAAGTGCTTTTAACTGCTGAGCCAGCTCTCTAATTTTATAGCCCTTATTTTTTTAAAGATTTTTATTTTTTAATTAAGTGTATATATGTATGGGTATGCACACATGGGTGCAGGTGCTCCTGGAGGCCAGAAGAGGGTGTTGGATCCTCTGGAGCTGGAGTCACAAGCAGTTATGAGTCACATGTGGGTGCTGGGAACAACATAGGTCCTTTGCAAGACAAATACCTGCTCTTAACTACTGAGCAATCTTTCTGGCTCCTTCAAATGTTCCGTCTTATGGTCAGTTAAAAGGTAACTACAGGAATTTACCAAGACAAAAAGCAGAACAGAACAGTGGTTGTGTAGCTGTAGAGGGGTAACCATAATGAGGAGACAGAACACTGGAAAACTTGGATCACTGTAATGATCACATAACTCTACAAATTAATCAAAACCTCAGAACCCCACTTATATAGGGACCATTTCCTGTTACATAAATTATATCTCAATGAAGTTGGTGCAGACACCATCTCAGAGCCCCCAGTCACCCTAACTCCCTTTCTGCCACATGACATCCACCAAGAACCTCTCCCCAGACAAAATGTCTCTCCGTAATGAAGTTTTTCCCACATGTAAAACGTCCCAAAAGACATTTGTCATAGGAGTTCTTACACTAAATTAAACAAGCATAATCACAGGAAGCATGGTTGCCTGAAGAAATAATCCTACATGTAATTCACTATATCTTGTAAGGTTTTAACTAAACAGTCTAAGAAGTTCAAACAATGGGAAATTGCACCTTGAATGTCAGGAATTCTGCACCCTGTTCCTTGAAAGGCTTTAAGTGCATCTATTTCCACCTCAGAGATGTTCTACAGTGAATGAAACCTCATGGGAAACACAACACAGTATCTTCTTGCTTTCATCTATGGGATATAAATTGCTCTTTGAAAAACTGGGAGTTATAACATGTTGCCATACCATATCACTAGAAGGTAGTTTGATCCAATGAATATTTGTTCTCGAGAAATTTTACGGAACAAGAGTCAAACTTAGGCTATTATTTAGCGATATAGAACAGAGTCAGTACACTTCATTAAGAGACCAGCAGACTGGGCCTGAGAGATGGCTTTGCAGTGGAGCATGCACTGCTCTTGCAGAGGACCAAGGGGCTCGATTTCCAGCACCTGTCAGGTGGTTCACAACTGCCTGTAGCTCTACTTTTGGACTTGATGACCAGTGACCAGGGACACATAATTACAATGCCCTTTTATTTTTGCTTGCTTTTTTTTTTTTTTTTTTTTTTTTTTTTTTTGTGAGGCAAGGTCTCATATAGCCCAGGCTGGCCTCAAATTTGCTACCTCTATCCCCTGATTGGTACGATTATATGTATGTACCACCACCCTCAGTAGGATCCAGGACTTCATTCAACATAAAAGCATAACCCAAGACCCATTTACAGTGAAGACAGTAAAGTACAAATAGATCATGTGAAAGAGGAGGCAGAAGTGGCAAAAAATTACCAACTGGGGAATCTAGATGAAGGTATGTGCATCCATCACACTGTTCGCCAACTGCGTGTGTACAAGTATCTATGTCCATGACTGCATGTGGGGGGCTGTACATGTACACATGTGTGGAGGCCAGAGTTACAGTTATCAATTTTCAGCGGCCATTCACTTAAAAATAAAACAAAACAAAACAAAACAACCCCCCCCCCCCGCCCCTAAACGGGGTCTCTCATTGCGTGCACTGATTAGGCTAGGCTGTCTAGGCCGTCTGGTTAACAAGTTCCACCTGTCTCCACCTCCTCAGCACTGGGATTATGTGTGCTACTACATCAGGCCTATTCTACTTATTATAGGTTCTCAAGCTTGTAAAACAAGCACTTTTCCAAGCTATCTCCCCAGACCCAATTTTAAATTTGTAACATAAACAAATTGGATCTTTGAAGCCTGGGCTGAGTCCTGCCTGGCTCTTCTAATGGAAGTTCCTGAACTTTCTCTGTCTTAGCTTTCTCACCTCAAATGAGACATAATGCTATTATAATCAAGATGCCTATCTTCAAACACAGTTTGCAGGAATATAAAATGAGTCAGTACATGTAAGTACTTAGCACAATGCTTGCTGCAAAGAGATCAATAGATTCTGCCCATTACTAATAATGCTGTCACCCAGCGCTCTTCACATTCTGCTTTATTTTTGTTGCATTCGTCAGTCTTAATTTTGAATGCATAAGCATTTGCTTATTTCCCAACTTCACAAGAATTTCAGCTCCAAGTGGGAGTGCTTTGTCTGTCCTGATGCCTACTATCATAGCCTAAGAATCTACAATGACTACACAAGCTCTCAATAAATACGTTTCAATGTATGAAGGAAACCACAAGGATGTCTCATTTTATCTGTTTCTACAAATTAGAAAATAAGTTCATATGGATATACTTTATACAGAATACCCCGTTAAATGTTATCATAAAAATATACTGCTTATAAACATTAACTGGCCCCAGGATATCATAATAGAGACCCTTAAAAATGTGGAATGCAGTTAAAAATTATAATTTCAGGAAAATTCATCTAATAATACTATTTCAAACTATATATCTCAGGATAGAGTGCTTCAGACTATTTTTAACCCTGGAAATATAGTAAAATACAATAAAACTGAAAGTATTTCTAAAATGCCCCGAAGTTATCACTACAAACATCTGCCCCACTACACGTACAACAAGGAAAAGGGGCCAGTGACCCTCACAGATCAGCAGGGTTGTCAGATACTGTGTCCCCTTTCTGTGAAACTTACCGACTTTACAAAAAGAAAGGCTGATACAAGCTGGGAAGAGGAGAGAGGGAAATGCCATCATAGATGGAGCCGAACCTTTACTAATAAAGCCCACGGTAGGTGGGGGAAAGGGAGAGCTTATTTGAGAAATTCATGGCCTGGGAGAGATGGGCTCTGAGATGGGGAAGAAGCGCTGTGTGATGTACTTTCAGGTATGCCAAAATGAGATACATTACATCCCACTAGAGATCCCATCAGTATGAATACAGCTGGACTACTTCTCCATCATTCTCACATGGCACACTCTATTCCTAATGGTATATCCCAGTATTAAAGTTGTTTATAACAGAAGTAACATGCTGCTGATTCACTTTCAGAGTTTTTACTGCCATGATCTTTTGACAGTTTTTAGATACATGACTTCCACCTTCAGCTACCACTTCTGCTCTACTTACAGAGTTGCCATTGCCTATTAGGCACCTGAATAGGTACTAATCCTGGTAATATTTTTTAAAAACTTTATTGTTATTTTTTTATGTATGTGAGTGTATTGCCTGCATGGATGTAAGTGCACATGTGTCGTGCAATGCCACGGAGGTCAGAAGAGGGCTTCGGATTCTTCTGGAACTGGAGTAAAGGACAGTTTGTAGCTGCCATGTGGTGCTGGGAATCGAACCCGGGTCCTCTGCAAGAGCAGTCAGTGCTCATAACCGTTGAGCCTCCCTAGTAATATTTCTTATGTTCATAGCTCACTGGGGATGAGGAGAGGAGGATCCTGGGCTTGCTGGTCAGTCATTCTAGCCTAATCAATGAGCTCCAGATTTAGTGAGAGGCCAACTCGAAAAAAAGGTGGAGAGTGATTGAGAAAGACACCCTGATATCAACCTCTGGTCTCCATACACACTCAGATGCATACATGCACACTTGTACCCCCTATAAACATGTACAGATCAATACACTTATACACATACACAACAACTAGAATATTATAAATACAATGTTGAGGGGCTGGAGAGATGGCTCAGCGGTTAAGAACACTGACTGTTCTTGCAGAAGACCCAGGTTTGAATCCCAGCACCCATATGGCACCTAACAACTGTCTGTAACTCCAGTCCCAGGGGATCTGACTGCCTCTTCTGACCTCCACGGGCATTGCATGACACGGTGCACTTACCTACATGCAGGCAATACATGCATACACATAAAATAAAAACAATAAATAAAATTTAAAAAATATATAAATACAATGTTGATACTAATTTTTAGAAAACCTACCAACTCTTTCACTTAAAAATATTATAATGTCATAAAGCATTTCTAGTGAAAATGATGATAGAGGGGCATCTCACTTTTGAGCAATCCTTCTGAAGCACTGAGCTGGGCTGCAGAGGCAGTGCACAGGAACTACTTGCTACACCTGAACACAGGCCTTCCAGTGGACTTGTTTTAGTTACAGGAGCTCCAGATGTAGTTCAAATACCTGTAAATCTCAGTATTATCTAACACTTCCACCACCTCATTTTTTGAATTCTGAGAAGCTCCTAGGTTTTCATTTTGGCTACAGCAGTTGAAATAAGTGTAAGACAGCCAAGTTCACAGACAGCTTTTGATTGGAATGATTTCCAACTCATATTTCCTCACTGTTCATGGAACAATGTATTTCTAAAGTGATTTTACTATCTGACAATCTCTGAAGAGAAATTTAAGCTCTGAAGCAAGTAGAAAAATGATTTACTAGTAATTCCTGTTCTTTCAGGGTGTGGCCATAATTTTGCTGTTAATTTGTCTTGTGAGTTCAAGAGCAGAAGTCTGCCTTCTATCTTTCCCTATGATCTTTGATGGGTAACTGTCTTCTCCCCACATCTACTCTCCTAAAAGTTCTCTACAGAAAATCTCACAAACGTCAATGGAATTAGAGGTGAACTGTTTTTCAAGTACAAGATGGTGAAGTAACTGTCCCAAGTTAGGAAAATAAAATCCCTCAAGGTGGCTGGAAAGCAGGGTGGATGTGTAAAGACTCAGCACTGACATGCCTTCAGAAACAAGAATTACTGGCAGGAAGTTGTCAGGACTCCAAACTGGTGTGCTCACAGTCAGAACCCATCTTTAGATTAATGATTCCAGAGCCAACCTGACAGGGAGACCATGACAAATGTGCTAATTCAAAACAAGAAGAACAATAGTTGATAGTGGGATATTGATCCCTGAGGTTTGTGGTTTTTTGTTTTTAAGAAATAAATCATGTTTCTTTGAAATGAAAGATCATCCACTCACTACATATTTATTAAATGTTTATTTTTTTAAAGTAAAAGACTAGGTAGGTCTACGTGTTAGGTCCTATGAGGGATTAAAGTCTAAGACACAGTTTCTGTTATTAAGCAGCTTACAATTAATTTACAGAACTAGAGTGAACTTGCAATAATTAGTGCTAAAACATATAAAGCAAAAGCACCTTAATCATCAAAATTCTTTGCCTGCAAGGGTAAGAAAACTCAAATAAGTGGTTCACAGGGATCCAGTGCACAAATAGCAGGAAAATCCTCTAGAATTAAAGGTTTAAGTACACAGTGTTAGCAACGACTCCAGGGTCTATTACCTGAATTCACTCTGTGACAGGTATGTATGCTAAGAGGTAATCATTGTTATAGTCTAACTGTATAATTTATAAACATTTTTTTGTAAGACCTCAAAGCATTTTGTAAGTACAATCTCATTTATCCTTCAGTTAATAATGAAAAGCTATTACTTAGATATTCCGTGAGATGCTAGATGTTCCCTAAGAACAGAACAGTAAGATAAGCAGTTGTTGTAGAGCGCTATCTTCCAAGCAAAGAGCTGCCATCTTCATCAGATCATCTGTGCCTGCTTGCACAATCATGAGTCAATTGTGATTGGGCCTAGGGACTACTGACATTCCCGCATAGGAGGAGTGGATGGGGAGGGTCACTGACGTGAGTTTCCAGCCACTCCTCCCAGCCACTTGCACGACATTCAGCACTAAACGGACATTTGTACGACATTCTACACTAACCAGACATGGTCTTGGGGGCCTTAGTAAGGGGCTAGAATGCACAGGATGGGAAAGGTTGATGGAAGCCGGTATCTATCTACAGAGCCGTGAGGGAGCCATCATCCATGCTGGGTGCAGACCTTCCAGCACGGCTTCTGTAGGGTCACCCACATTCCTGCCTATAAGCCCTCACTCATGCCCTATGCGTTAGCTTAATAAACCCATTGGTTCTCCAGGGTCAACTGTGGTTTGTCACTGGAACCTTATGAGGAGTGGGAAGGCTATTGTTATGCTTTCCTTTCCTTCCTAAGGGAGCAATTCTCACAACAGGGATGTAGGACATTTAGAAGCTAGGAGAATTTGAGCTCTGCTAAGGGCAAGTAAGATAGTGTTATCTGGCTGAGTTCAGTTACAGGAAGAAAGTTAAAAACATGAGTTATATTATTTTAGATCATCATCATCATCTTCATCAAATATATATATTTTAAGTGTGTCTGCATCATCAATGTTTTCCAGAGTGGAGAACAAAGCTAATTAAACCAATAAGCTCCCCCAACCTCAGTTCTCTGAGATGACATAAAGGTGCACACATACACTGACGCTGACACATTAAAGAAAATTCCATTTGACAAGGTACCTCTTCTAAGGCATTCCAGAGTTCCTCATCCGTGTGCTCATTAAAGGGATCCAGGTTTTTCCTCATTGTTCCAGTGAACAGAACAGGTTCCTAAGGGCCCAAAAGAGCAAACGTCATTACTGTGACTTTTTTTACCTTTTTCGCTTTCAGAATAGAACTAAAATGAAAACACACCAAAATCACTATCATCATTCTTTTTTTAAAATTTTATTTATTCTTTTTATTTTATGTGTATGCATGTATTGCCTGCATGTAGGTAAGTGCACCAGTGTCATGCGATGCCCACGGAGGTCAGAAGAGGCTGTCGGATCCCCAGGGATGGGAGTTATAGACAGTTGTTAGCTGCCATGTGGGTGCTGGGATTCGAACCCAGGTCTTTTGCAAGAACAACCCGTATTCTTAACCACTGAGCCATCTCTCCAGCCCCTCATCATTAATTCTAAGGTTGTCTTGACTTGTTTACAAAATGACATCGCCATTAATTTCTCATCATATAAAATGTGCTCCAAAACATTTTCCAGCACTGAACACTAATGAACGAAATGGTGGCAGTGTGTCATCTTAAAAAGAAAATGCAGAAAAAGTGAATCTGGTTGCTAAAAACATTTCCCCGGTAATATTTGCTGGAACAGGAAATGCAAGGATTTAATTTGAATAACTTTACATCAACAGAACTGTAGAAGTTGTCAATCCTTATAGGAAAACATCAACAAATAGCAATAGTTGAAGTTTGTGCTTTAAGTGACTATGGTTAAATATTTCTCCACTAGTAAAATATTCTTCTGGGATTGGAAATCTCTCTGCATGCCCAAATAGGAGATTCTATTCTTTGGTCAATGAGGATGTCAACTAATGGGACCACTCTATTCATAAAGAGATGGTCTCTGATGCTGCACCAGTCAATCACCAAATTATCTTGTCTGTTCCACAGGATTGCCTGTCTTGCTGAACCTCATTATTAACTACAAGGGCAAGGTAACCAGAAACCCATTGTGAAGCAAGTCATCTTCCCATTCATCTGCTTCAGGAGGAGCCTACAATTAAACTGCTTTTGAAACAGACCTCCTTCAAGACAGCATCTTAGATGTGAGCTTAGGGAGGCTGTGCAGATTTTCTTCTAGAAGGTTCTAACAAATAGGCCATAGGACATGAGCAGCAGGCCATGGCTCTTCCATGGGTCCTGGAGAACTGCTCCAGAAATTCCACCTAGCTTTGGGGCAAGACTTTTATTACCTGAGAAGAAAGACGGAGGAGGAAGGCTTTCCTCTAGCTGTGGAGACTGATACTGTCATTCACTTCTTAGATTAGACTGGAGACCAACGGCATACCCCTCCCCAATATGTATACCTCAGCAAAATTCAAAAACTAAAAATCATTAAAATAGCATTTTATTTACACGAAGTTGATTGAGTGATCATATAACTTTTCTAAATGACTACTGAGTTGAACTGAAAAACCAAGGGCCTTATTTAAACTAAATAGTCATCTGTGGGATGGTGGGGATTTCCTGTCAATAAACATCACTCTACTGACTTTAGATTTCTCTCTTTAAGTTAGGTACTTCTTTTCTACTTGTGTGAGGCTCACAGAAGTGATGTGGCCGGTGGGGGCAGCTATCAGCTGTCCTTCCTTTCTGATGCTCCTGTCACTTCCCAACACCTGCCATGCTTCCTGTCTTTGATGCTCTCTGACCTCCCCACAAAGGCTCTACACCATGACGGATGTGTCACTCGGGGGCCCCAGTTGAGTGACTCTGAGGTAAACAGGGTAAGGAATCAGTTTTGAGTCCATGAGAGTTGGTCTCTTTTTCCTTGTCCAGATGACTGATAGTACCTCACCTCTTTGTTCCTCTTAGAGAACAAAATCACATCTGATATCAGGCCTAGACTCTGACAGAAACCTCGTGGGGCTTTACAAAGTCTCATCTTGAGAGCTAATATATGAAGCCTTTGCACAGACTGATCTTCCTTCACTTCATAATGAAAATGCTCATAGTATTAGCAGAGGTAGGGATGGTGGTTTGGTGGCTCTAGAGAGCAGCCATAGGATTACACAGTTCCCATCCAATCTCCTATCTCATGATCATGGCCTTGTACCTGTTATCATCCATACCCTCTCCCCTCAGGAGTGGAGATGGTTGTGTCTCAAAGTGTGAGAACTAATGTGAGATCCCTCACAAGAGAGCATGCTGCTGAGCCATGGAACATAAACATCTGCATTACACTGTGTTGTAAGCACCAGCCTCAGACAGGAAACCCCGGGAGTTTGGCTAATTATCTCGGATCATTGTTCACTAAAATAAGGGTCTCTACTTAAATCTACACTGTCAATTAAAAGGGCTATATTGATGCCCATGCTTATTTAACAGTATTAGAGGGAAATAAGTAAATAAGGGTAATTTTCTTTGTTATGGTATGCCGGATATATATTTCATAAGTAAAATTTCAATCAAGACTTGTTGAACAGGAATGATTTAATAAAACACTGATTGAAGCTCTATTTTTCTTTAAAACTAGCAGGCAATTTATTCACAATGGTTGTTTAGTAAAAACCATTTACTATACCATAGTGTTTAGTAAAAACACTATGCTAGTGTATTTTATACATGGTGCTCACTTCTTTTATCCACTTGCCAAACAAAAAGCTGTAATATTATCTTCAAAAGGTAATAAAAATGTTCACAGTAGACACATACTGCAGGAGAAGGGTCAAATTAATTATCATTTCTGATAGATATTATTTAAAGTACCCACCTCTATGCAATGAAGTTAATAAACTAATCTTATAAATAAGTATTGTAAAAATGTTTGCAGGCAGAACATTTCAGTGTGGGGATTTATGGGAGGAACAGACAACTTTCTTGTAAAATATATACATAATTTATTAGTCTCAATGGTATGGGTTTTTTAAAAAAATATTTTATTTATTTTTATTTTATGTGTATGCATGTATTGCCTGCATGTAGATAAGTGCACTGTGTCATGCAATGCCCACAGAGGATAGAAGAGGCTGTTGGATCCCCTGGAACTGGAGTTACGGACAGTTGTTAGCTGCCATGTGGGTGCTGGGATGCGAACCTGGGTCTTCTGCAAGAACAGCCAGTATTCTTAACCGCTGAGCCATCTCTCCAGCCCAATGGTATGGGTTTTAATAAGAGTTTTATTTTAACTTCCACAGTTAGCTGGCATGGTACAATTAGGAAAATAAATGCACTTGTTCAACATAATAATAAAGTCAGAGAACCCGTGTCAAACTTGTTTTTTCATCCTGGTAAGGATAAACAATGTTTTTATCCTGTGCAGTATCTACTACTTTCTGCCTGTTTCTAACACAGCAGAGGTTCTTATTAAGCATGTCACTCCAAAGTGGCTACTTTGAATCAAACTATTTAGGGAAGTAAATTGATAATCCCTCAATCCTGAAAACTACAGACTTACTAGGTATTTTGACTATACTGACTGAAAGACAGGTCTCCATTATGTTTAGAAGAAACTCTACCCACTAACCTTCAGACACTTAAGCCAACCAGGGACAAACCAAGACAAAAACTTACAAATGAACAAGATAAAGCTCAACAATTATTCTAATCTTTTTGAGTCTCAAACTAGGAAACATCTCTCTACTAAAATACATAGTCGACAGCAGCTATTATAGTTATTTGCCAATGTGTTTCAAGCTCCTTTTTAATTCTCAGTATCGTTTCAAAAGGCAGTGCATCTCCTGGTCCCAAGGATGAGGGAGTCACCTGAAGTCACTCTGAATCTCGGTTTCTTTTTCTTTCTTCTTTTTAATCCTTAGCCTCTGAATGAACCGATCATCATGCATTTTCAGAAGAAAAGAACATTGTTCACTCACAAAGGAAAAAGAATTTAAGTCGTGTAAAGTCTTCTTTAAATACAAAAAGGTCACCAGCTCCAGGGAGCAGAGCCATGGGCTTTAATGAAGACTTCAGTGTGCAGGAACAAAGGAGGACTGCATTAGGCTGGGATCCAGTTGTATTTCTTTACTGGTAACAGCATACCTACCTCCTTTTCTCTTTGAAAGAAAACCAGGTAATCAGAAAGGAGTTTTAAAGAGACATAGCTCTGTTTAACCTTTTAAACCTACTTTAAAAAAAACTCTCTAGAGAACAGAAATGCTAAAAATAGCAGAATGGATTGTTTGAAAAACACCTGGCTTTTGTTTTGGTACAAATAAAAAGAATCTATTAAACATAAAAAAATCTGTTTAATCATGTTAAAGATTAAAGCTGTTGATGGGCATCAACCCTTAGTTGCCATCATAAATGAAGAATTTGCTAGGAGCTGCTTTTTGACTGGAAACATCTCCTTGGTGCCAACAGGATAGGGGCTCTGGTTGTAAAGAAACTCTACCCAGAAAAGTTGTGAAATCTGTTTTGCAGATACTTTTCTGATAGGTTATTTCCTGGAAGCAGTGTCATTTTGGGGACCTCTTCCAGAGTCCTCAGAGCACTTGGTGAGGGATGAGAAGGAAGGTGTGCATGTTCTGTTGAGGAAAGTACTTATTCCTGAAATCTCAAATCATCGCTGAGGAGTCTGTTTCTTCTCTTTCCTTTTTTGCTTTGGATTTTTGAGACAGGGTTTCCCCACAGCCCCAGAACTCACTACGTAGACCAGGCTGGCCTCGATCTCACAGAGATCCACCTGCCTCTGCCTCCCAAGTGCTGGGATTCCCATACCCAGGGAATCTGTGTTATTTAAAGGGGATCAAGGATACCCACCTGTGTTACTACTCCTGGGTCCCTATCCTGGTTCTTGATCCTAATTTTGAATTGTCCCTGACAGGTTCAAGAAAGGGGAGGAACCATTAACCCAAGGGGGAGGAGCCTCAAAGTGAAAAAAGGAAGCTGCTGTACCCAGGGAAAGGAAGATGCAGGTCTGGCTCAGTTAGATCCCGAGCTTAGAAACAGCACTTTTTCTTTTCTCTTTTCATTGCATTCGCAACACCAGCAACCCTGACCCCTGCTCACATGAGGAAGAGGGATGCATGATTTCCTCACAGAAGTCACCTTGATGACTGGAATTCTCTGCCTCTATGTATGTAACCGAGGCCTCTGTGGCCACTCCTGAGTATCTGCCATTCTTTAGCCCATGGCACAGAGTGAACCCATTTGGGAAAAGAACCCCCACAAACAGTTCACTCTTTCAAAGCTACCCAACTGTGCCAAGAGGGACTAAGCCCTAGGAGTAGGTGTCTTTTGACTCTGCTTTATATTTCTTCTTCATGGATGTTTTGGGGAACCTTTTCTAAGTGGGGTGGATAGAAAGACAATTCGTAAAATATGTGACAAGATGTTATTCAGTTAAACATTTACTGAGACAAAAATTTTAAAGTCTGGCAGTGCTGAGCTATCATGCTACTTATTAGGGGATGGTGAGTTATGAATTTCCTCCAGCCTCAAATTCCTCTCTGGAACCTTGCCCTTGTCACCTTGCAGGGCTGCTGTGACCAAGGGCCCCATTATCACAGCTCTTCCCAGGGTGTTGATAGGCAGCAGGTGCCGTAACACACAGGCAGGACAGTAGGCACAGTGTTTTCACAGTGCAGGCGCGACCAGTGGCTCATGAAATCAATTTTGTGGCTCGTGATCATCATTTTGTCTTTTATATGAGCTAGACTAGAATAAATAGAAGAGAAAATAGCAAGGCACAAAGTGGAGTAATAATGCTTTATGAGGCTTCTGTTTCTAAGCATGTGGGTGTGTGGGGGCATGCACACGACACAGAGGCATTGGGATACAACGTGGAGTTTTTCCTGTTGGCCACAGCACATAGTTTTAAAGTAGAGTGATTCAGAGGCTCAGGAGCTGGCACTGGGAATCTCTGAATTTTCTTTGAATCCTGGCTCTGTGACTTCCTTATTAAATGGGTTCAGCGCTCTGTACCTCAGCTTTCGGTTCTTGTCATGTGAGGGTGACAACAGAATTGGTGGAAGGGCTGAAAGGTTAGGAAGAAGTGTAAACATGAAGGACACATGTAAGAAAGGATGTCTCCTGTAACTTGTCCGGGCTGCAACAACCATTAGAGCAGTGGAAAGGAGATACTCAGACAGGTCTCAGGATGGAGGGAAATGGTAAGGAATGTTGGCAGGACAGAGAACAAACAGAAAAGGAGTTCTTAGGGAGAAGTTAATGGGTACAGAGGCAGTGGTCAGGAAAAACTCTGTCCTTGTGAGAAAAACATTAGATATTTTTTTTGTCATGGTTTACCTTAGAAGTTCTCTGTGTGTAGGTATATGTATGTGTATGCATGTGTATGCATGACTGTGGGTAATGCTTCTGAGGCATTTTATTTTTCTGTTACAATAACTGTAATTAATTTGGTTTAAAGCCAATCATCAGGGTTGGGGAGATGGCTCAGCGGTTAAGAGCACTGGCTATTCTTGCAGAAGACACATGTTCAAATCCAAGCACCCACACGGTGGCTAAAAACCATCAATAACTCCAGTTCCAGGGGATCCGATGTGGGCACTGTACAACACGGATAAGCTTATACACCCGCAGAGGTATAACACTGATATACATAAATAAAATTTTTTTTAAAAAAGACAGTCACGCCGGGCATGGTGGTGCACACCTTTAATCCCAGCAGAGGCAGGCGGATCTCTGTGAGTTCAAGGCCAGCCTGGTCTACATAGTGAGTTCCAGGACAGGTGGGTTACAGGGAGACCCTGCTTCAAAAAGACAAAAAAAAAAACAAAAAAAACAAAAAAACAAACAAACAAACAAAAAAAGACAGTCATGCTGGGCATGGTGGCGCTCGCCTTTAATCCCAGCACTCGGGAGGCAGAGGCAGGCGGATCTTTGTGAGTTTGAGGCCAGCCTGGTCTACATAGTGAGTTCCAGGACAGCTGGGGCTACAAGGAAACCCTGTCTCAAAAAAAAAAAAAAAAAAAAAAAAGATAATCATCAGGGATTACAAGAACATAAACAGAAATTAATGAGCCAAGTCCTCCTAGAATACGCTAATATTTTTAGTTAAATAGCCATCATACCTAAGAGGCCAGTACTCTAATCTTTAATAACAGAGTTGCTATTTATTGAACATTCCTGAGAATGCAGACATTGGGCCACATGCATTTCTCATGCAGTCAATTCATGAGAAATCTGTGAAGTAATAAGGACTAAGACCAGGAAGCTAGGTGACTTCATCAAGCAGAGAAATGAAAATATGGGACACACTGTCACCAAGCACATGCGCTGAAACAGTCTATCCTGGTCCCTTTTGTATATTGCACGTTCTCTCTTATCAACCAGCATTGCATCTTGGAGATACAGACATATAATGGTGCAATATAAAGGTTCTGTGTTTACTATGCTTAGCGATCATGAGCTACAAAGATACAAAGTTTAGCACTGTTTGGTGAATGCATTCTCTGGAGTTGATGCACAGAGCATTTGCACAAAAGGAGGGTGGGAACTCATGGAACAGAACCAAAACCCAGTGATGTCAAGGTGTATTTAGCTTTTGCTCAGATGTGCTTCCAAAACATTCCCAGCAGAGCCAAGAATCATCCAACGCTACTTCTTTATTTAGAGTTCTTTTATGTACACAAGTATACAACCATTTTTTATTAAGCAGCATTAAAAGTAGTACAGGGCACGTTTCTAGAGCCTTTCATCCAAGGATCTGAAAGACATGCCTATGATCTTGGTTAAATAAATGTCCTCTGGCCCATTTCTGAGATGGGTACAGCCAAAAAATTCAACTTGGGAATTTAAACTCTGGTGATCAGAGAGCAATTTGTGGGAATCAGTTCTCATTCTTCACCATGTGGGCAATGGGACTGATCGGGCTTGGTGGCAAGTACCTTTATTCACTGAGCCATCTCGGCCCTTCCCCTTTTCATTTTAAAGCTTACAGTGGTACTAAGTATGCTTGTGTTTGTTTTCAGTGGTCATCACCATCAATCCTAGGACTTCTTTTTTAACCTTATAAAACTGAAACCCTGTACCTATTAAACAAAACTACTTCCTATCTCTCCCTTCCCTCAGCCCCAGATGGACACAGTCTCCTCTGTGTCTCCATGAATTTGAATATTCTAAATACCTCACATGAGTGGAACTACTCAGCATTTGTCATTTTGTGAATGGCTGGTTTCAAGTAGCACGATGTTTTCAGAGTTTACCCATGTTGGAGCATGTATCAGAATTTCCTTCCTTTCTAATGCTGAATAACTTCCCATTGTTTGTAGAAACCACGCTTTGTTTTTAGCTATTCATCTGTTGATGGACATCTGGGTGGCTTCCACTTCTTGACTACTGTGAATAGCGCTATTAATAGGTCTAAACTAGTATCTCCTCAAGACCCTGCATTCTATTCTTTTGGGTATATATTCTGAAGTGGAATTACTAGATAATATGGTAGCTCTATTTTCAGTCTTATGAGGGGCCTCTATACTGTTTTCTACAGCAGTTGTACCATTTTACATCCCCATCAGCAGAGCACAAAGGTTCTAATTTTTCCACATCCTTACCACCAAGGGGTGGTATCTCATCATGGATTCTAATGTACATTCTTCAAGCAACTTCTATTATTTTAGACATCAAGGGTAGGTAACAATAGCTGTACTTGGTCATAGGATCAAAGCCCACATTCTTCTTTTGGGGTGTTAGGTTCTCTATAATTCATAACAAGCAAACACTTAAAGACCCATTATAGCAACATGCTCAGAAAGCATGGCTGCCAAGCTCTTTTTCCTTTGTCTCCACTCTGAATTTCTCATCTCAGGAATAAGCATGCATGGTGTGTGTGTGTGTGTGTGTGTGTGTGTGTGTGTATGTGTGTGTTGGGGGGGGTCGTCAGGTTCCCTTGATGGTCAGAAGACTGCATAATGTGATACATGCCAAAGCAGAAACTCCAAACATCAAGCCTGGAGCTGAATATGTCCAAGTGTCAAAGCTGAGGGCAGGGTGAAGCCACGAGGATCCACAACTGCAGGTCCCAGGCCTGTGGGGACAGGCTCTATGCGGCCTGTGGCTATCAACCCAGAAGACAGTAACTACTCAATAAAGACTTTCTGAATTTATGCTGAATAGAACCAAAAGCAACTAAACTAAAAGCTTCTAGTGTAAGTAATCTAATTTCTGGGACAGTCTCTGTAAGTCTTTCACTATGAAACAGAAACAAAGAACAGAAAAAACATCCCTCCCAAGGGGAAATAGCAACTCAAACCTCTGCCACCAGGGCAGCCAGGTACTGGGCTTGTGTGAGGCACTCTGCCTGCACTGACATATTTAGCCTCCACAACAGTTTTCAGAGGTGATACCACTACCTGCCTGGTAAGGAGAAAATGGTAACACAGAGAGATGCAACTCCTTCCCCATCTCCCCATGACTCTGTACTGCTACCCTGGCTAAAATCACTTACCAACATCTAGATTCTAAAAGTGCCAACAAAGCAACTGGGCCTAGTGGCATATGCTCTGTAACTCTCACAGCCCCTCAGGTTCACAGAAGGCCCTGCATGGGGATATCTGAGCTTTATTTCCTAAGAGCTAAAGTTCTGCATTGAGACACTTACAACCCATGCTTCCCCACTGAAGGCTTGGGCAGAATTATGTAGTTATCAATGGATAAAACTGTGGCACTGAAAAGATGCTTAATCCAGAAATGAATCTAGGTAAACTCTCTCTCTCTCTCTCTCTCTCTCTCTCTCTCTCTCTCCCCCCTCCCCCACTCTCTCCCCGCCCCTCTGGTATCTATGAAAATACCCCTTGAAAATACCTATTAAATTATGTCCTATTGGCTATGGGATCAATCCTTTCATCCAATTAAAAAATTAGGGACTAGAGAGATGGCTCAGCGGTTAAGAGCACTGGTTGTTCTCGCAGGAGACCCAGGTTTGAATCCCAGCACCCACATGGCAGCGAACAACTGTCCGTAACTCCAGTCCCAGGGGATCTAACAGCCTCTTCTGTCCTCTGAGGGCACTGCATGACACAGAAAAAACCTAGTAATAAAATTAAGAGCAATTAAACTTCAGTGCCCTTGTAAAAGGAACATGTGTGGACGCTCTGACTTGCATACCTGAGGTATGATTGACATTTTCTTCCTTAAATCGTGGAGTCCAATTTCACTTGTCAAGATCTTATCAATCCAAATTTTACCTTCAGGTTCTGACAATCTGAAAAGGGCTGAGATGAGGGAACTTTTTCCAGCTCCCGTCCTTCCCACAATTCCAACCTAGAAAGAAAGAGATCCAAGAGGAGGGATGACACATTAACCATATGAGACCAGCCTAGGAGAATTAGGTTTTGAAGGTGAATCATGAAGCTTTCTATTTGTGTGTTGTCTAAAAATTCCTCCACCTCAGCTTGGCTGGTATGTGAGGCCAGGCAGTTCGTTATGGTGGGGGCTGTCCTGGCCCTGTGGGATGTTTATTAGTATATTTGGACTGTCCTTTCCAGATGCCAGTAGCAGCCCCCAAACTGTGACAACCTAAAAAGTCAGGTCTTGACAAATGTCTGGGGGGGGGCACCCCTGGGTGAGACCTACTAGGTACACGAGTCAAAAGAATGGCAAAGGCAGAGCCAGAAGCTTCCTCAGCAGGGGCTGAGAAGACAGTTTTTTTCCATGAGCTTCACTTCTAAGGTCTGAGATATGCTGAACCTTGAGAGCTGCTTGTATAATTTCACAGAGGCGTTAACAAGCCATGCCAGGAGTGTTATCCACAAAGAAGTGTGTTTTTTCCCAGAGTTCTATCATTTACGATGAATTAATCTTCGATAGAGAAACTAAATCACTTGTGCATATCATTTATTTGGTTATGTTGTGTCTTGAGAGGAAATGCAGGTCTCCACATCTTAGAAGATAGTAATCAGTAGCCAAAACACACATAATGAGATCAACAACAACAGCACCACAAACAGCATTTGATATTTACATGGAGCCTTTCATCTGAGCAGTTCAAAAGGCATTTTACAAACCAATTAATACTTACAATTGCCCCTTGGGAAAGATTTGTGTGAAGAATCATTCCTCTTATTAAAGTCAGAACAGAGAGAAACGAAGTGTGCTGACAATAAGATCAAAGCAGCAATATAACACAGGTGAAATACTGGTCAGAGATGAAACTACATTGCAGAAACTGGCTTTAGGAGTGTGCACTTAAACCTGTGAGCAGAAAACTGGCCTTTTCTCCAGTGAGCTTGATCAACTGGGAAAAGCATCCAAAGGGATGACATCATCATTATTAAAAATCTGGAGTCAGGCTGGAGAGATGGCCCAGCGATTAAGTGCACTGACTGCTCTTGCAGAGGACCTGCATTCGATTCCCAGCACCCACATGGCAGCTAAAAACCATATAACTCCAGTTTCAGGGGATCTGACACCTTCTTCTGACCTTTAAGGGCATTGCACAACACAGGTACACTTACACACATACAAGCAATACACTCATATATAAAATAAAAATAATAAAAATTATTAAAAAAACTAAAAATCTGGAGTCAATGAAGTGCATTCAACATGCTTTCTATCATTTGTAAACTATCTCAATAGATTTTAAAAACACTACTTTAAACAGAGAGGAACTGAATTATATTGCACAGTAGTTACATTCTGGGAATTTTAAATGTTATTTGAATACTTTCAAATAAGATCAATAATGGTCTTTCAGAAAATAACCAAGAGCTGTAAGAGAACTGTTTTTATCTTTTTTTCCTTTTAAAGATTTATTTTTATTTTATGCTTATGTTTGAGTGCATGAATGCATGTATGTGCACCACATGCATGCCCGGTGTCTGCAGAGGCCAGAAGAGGGTGTCAACTACCCTGGAACTGGAATTACAGGCAACTGTGAGCTGCCATGTAGGTGCTGGGAATTGAATTGGGTCCTCTGCAATAGCAGTCAGTGCTCAGAGCAACTGAACCATCACTCCAGTCCTTTATCTAAGTTTCTGAAACCTCTGTAGATATTATCTGCCTTTTGGGAAATGCCAACTTTATTTTATCTGTGGGCTAGTTTTTACACATAAGTGTATCTTTATATACACAAGTGGTTCACCTGATCTCTCTAATCCCTGGGTATTCTCTTATGTAAACTGTGAAGACAGAGGTAAATCCATGTTTGTGAGACCACTAGGACAATCACATTTACCAGATACCTGGGAAACTGATCCACTGGTAAAAACTCAAACCATTGTAGACTATGGGGGAATGGCTGGATCTGTCCATAAAAGGCAGGGGACACTGAGGGCTACCTATGACCACAGAACTGTGAGCTCTGAACATACGTGAGGAAACTGAGAGAAAACAAAAAATCCTGGTCATTCCTCTCTATCAATGTTGTTAAACTATCATCAAAAGACCTTCATGGGTCAAACCACCGAAGTGGAAACTCAGACACAGTCTAATCTTAGCTACTTTTCAATTGTGTTTGTGTTTTCCCAACTTAGATAAGGCTGGTCTCCAACAACCACATCAACATGTTAAGACTTAAAAAAAATATCATGTGAATGTGTGTGTGCGTATGTGTTTTGGGGGGATATGTGCATATGAATACAGGTGTCCACAGAGGCCAAAGGTATCTGATTCCCAGGAGCTGGAGCTCCATGTGGGTGCTGGGAATCGAACTCATGTCCTCTGGAAGAGTAGTATGTATTCTTAACCACTGAGAAGTCTCTCCAGTCCTGACACATTAGACTTTTTACATGAATCTTTTTTTTTTTTTTTTTTTTTTTGAGACAGGGTCTCCCTATAGCCCCAGATGGCCTGGAACTCACTATGTAGACAAGGCTGGCCTTGAATTCACAGACATGGATCTCTTTTCATACTCCAAGCTCAATGTTCCACTCTTTAAACAGCTGCTTCCAACTTCTTCACCATAGTTCCTAGCTTCTTCACCAAGCTCCCTGGTGCTAAGCATCCATTTACTTTCCACTTCCTCCTAGGTAGCCTGGCACCAAGCCTGAAGTCTCTACCTGTTTCTTGACTTGATCCTGTTGTTTTCACTTCTCATAGCCACCTGCCAAGGCCATATTACCTTCTAAAAAACAAATAAACTTGTCCTATTAAAATCAGAGCAATAAATTTGGAAAGTAAATAAACACTAGCCTTAATGTCAGCATTCCTACAGAACCATGCTTCACACGTGGAAATGTCTGTGTGAATGTACATGTGTATGCACATGTGTATGTGTGTGGTAGGTATTCCTAGGTGACAGACTCATGTATTTAACCAAAATGGGATTAATATGAATGTATTGTGACACTCTGTGGTTATTTACAAGTTCATATACATAGTTGAGGCACACATACTATTAAAGTGCATATGATGATTTATTTCACTCTTACTTGTGGATGCTTTAGCTGCCTCCAAAACCTTTTGCTATCATAAACAGTATCATGTTAAACATCCTTGAAGCTACATCTTTGCAAACCACCTTAATTATTTACCTAAGATAAATCCCTAGGCATGGAACTACTGAGCTGCAGGTATGAACACCTCAAAAGAAACTGCTGAGTCCTGCCAAATCACCCTCCAGAAACAGGATCCCGATCTCCACTGTTCCCCGTTGCCCTGCACATCCCCAACCTGGGTGTTACAACTTTGTTTTAATCATCATTAAAGTTTGATTCCCCAAAGTAGAATCACTTTCCTCATTATGTCTCTCCACGAGCACAAGATAGCTGTTCACTTCCTGCCTCCTGTGTCTTCTCTGCTGTCTCTGAGCACTTCTTTCTCAGATTCAACCTCCAAAGTGTAGCTCTATGTCTGTTTTTCCACATAGGAAACCTCGATAGATCACTTCTGACCTACTTTTCCATCTTTAGCTCCAGAGTGTAAGTGAAGGCCCAAGCCCTTCACTCCCAAGAGGACATGTTCTCTGAGGAAAGACACAGTTGTCTACAGGAAGAACGGGCACCCCGGCACAGGCTGGGAGAGAAGCTGAGGCTGGTAGGTCACTGGGCAGAGAGAGCAGAACCAGTGTCCTGTTTCAGGGCAGTGAGACCACACTTATTTAAAAGTGTGCACACGGGTGCATGTGTATCACAGTGTGTGTGTAGGTCAGTCCATGCTCTTCTTCCACCATGTGGGTTCTCAGGATCAAACTCAGGTTGTCGGGTTTCACAAGTGCCTGTACCCACTGTGCCATCATCTCTTTGGCCCTGAGACTAGTTTTATATGTAGTCAGGTGATGAAAGAACTCAAGGTCAGGGGCTGGAGAGATAGCTCAGCAGTTAAGAGTACTGGCTGTTCTTACAGAGGACCCAGGTTTGAATCCCAGCACCTACATGGTGCCTAAAAACCATCTGTCCTCTATGGGCATTGCATGACATGGGTGCACTTACACACATGCAGGCATAGCACTCATACACATAAAATAAAAATACATCAAAAAATAGTTTTAAAAAAAAGAACTCAAGGTCTAGCAGTATATGGGCTGATTTGTCTCAGACTGCTGGGAGGAGGGTGGTTGGACTGTAGGTAAAAATGGTCTGTGACAGAGGATGCTACTGGAAAGATGCAAATTCATGTATAAACTTGAGATCAGAAAGAAATAAATTATAACATTATGACGGACAGAATATAGACGTCACACACACACACACATATATACATGCACCAAGATTTTAGCCTAGACTTTCATGTTCTGACCCAGGAGAGGGTGGGGTAATCCATGATACCAATTTCAAGGTGTAGGAAGAAGTTTCTTAGACATCACGTGACAGAAAGTGTCTTTATTCCTAGCAAGACCCACAAAATGCATATGTTTCAGGCAGAGCTAGGACTGGGGGGAGAGGCTGGGGAAGTGGGTCCTACACAAGAGAGAGGTGGGCTCTCTGAGAAAACATTATGTAAAAAAGGAGAAAGGATAGGAAACTAATATTTTTGCACATTATAGCAAGGTCTAGCACACATATGTAAAAATGTATTATCAAAGTAATAGCTCCAAGCAAGAAAAAAAATATAATAAACCCAAATCAATCTACCTGTAGAGCCGGAAAATGCTTTCAAATGGCCCAGTACTCTCTCAAATGATCAAATCAACCACAAAATCACCTAATGAAAAATGCAGCCGGTGCTTAGAATCTGACCAGGAGACCCAGGGTGCTATTTATCTCATTTTTGTTCTTTATTTTTACTTGCCTAGTTCTTCCTCAAATTAAGAACCTGCTTAGTAGTGATTACAGTTTCCTGTTTACTGCAACTTCTAGGGATCTCAGCAGGGGAAATCACTGAAAGAGAATAAAGAATTTCTGCTGTATCAGCATAGTCCCACGTCGAGGCCTGAAATGTTGTCTCCCACAAACCAATCCAACACAGAAAGGACTTGAAAATGGGGGGCTAGACAAAGGTGTAAGAAGGGGGAACCCCATGGGTGTAGGAATAGGAGAAAATTCCATGATGCTACTGCTTTCGTGCAGGCAGCCTGTAAACATGTATTCATACACTACGCTAAGGCAACAGACTGCACACAGACACACACACAGACACAAACCCCAAACAAAAGTCAAGTTATTGTAGATACTGTAATTCAACCTTCAAATTCCCAATCTTTTAGCATCTCAGGTAATCCTATGGTTTTGGGGGTGTTTTAAGATAGAAAACAAGTCTGTGGATATGAGTTGTTTTCTAGCTTGTTCAACAGAGTTCCTTAGGTAATTCATTTTCCGTGGCTTCAAGGGAACTTGAAGACAGGTGCAAATTAAGAGAATTATGCTTGCAACGTCAGATCTGATAAGCACATTGTCTGCAAGACAGCAAGCATCCTACAGTGCTTTCAAGAACATCAACACAGACGCTTGCCTCTCATCAAAGCTGAAGCTCCTGCTTTGCCCATATAGTCCTCCCCATCCTCAAACCTACAAGGAAGCTGTGGAAATAATTAGGAGTGGGCTTTTGCCAAGTGACTTACTAAAGCTGTTCCTTGTGTACCCTTTGGGCACCAAGGTGTACATTTATTCTTTTATGTCACAAGGGTATCACTCATTAAATCACAGCTGTGATTAGGCCATTAAATGGGTCTGTGGCAGGAAGAGTTTAGAGCTGGCAAAGTATTTAACACTCCAGGGGATAGGACGTTGAGCAATGGCAGAGTGCTTGCCTAACACACGCATGTCCCTGTGTTCGATCCACAGAAACACACATGCACGCACACACACACACACACGCACACACACACACACACACACAGGATTGGGGAAGCGAGAATTTTCCACTCCCATCTAGGGGAAGGGTTGTCTCAGAGCTGTCCTATGAAGGGTTTTGTTACAAGTTTCTTCCTGTCTGCATAGTGTACTCTCACTCATGTTCATAGTCAGCTGTTCATGCCCTGCAGGATGCCATTTACTGGATGTGCTGCATAGCTTCAATTGTCAACTGGACATACCTGGGAGGAAGGAACCTCAATTGGGGAATTGTCTCTATCAGGCTGGCCCGTGGGCATGGCAATGGGGCATTTTTTTGACTGTTGAGTGATGTGTGAGGGCCCAGCCCACTGCCAGTGCCACCCCTGGGCAGGTGGTCCAGGGTTGTATAAGAATGCAGGCTGAGCACAGGCCAGAGGAGCAAGCCAGTAAGCAGCGTTCCTCATGGTCTGTGCTTAAGCTTATGCCTCTAGGTTCCTGCCATGAGTTCCTGTCCTGGCCTCCCTTCATGTTGGACTATAAGCTGTAAGATGAAATAATCCTTTTCCTCCCCAAGTCGGTTTGGTCAGTGTTTTATCACAGCAATAAAGAAGCCAACTAGAATACTGGGGAACAAGGGACAATATAAAATGTTCCCTAATTTAAGAAGCCCCGGGTGCTATGAGATCCAGAACTAAAAATCATGCCATAGTGCTTATTTCAAAACTGTGGCAAACTGTATTTGTCTTAGTTACTTTGCCAGTTGCTGTAATAAAACACCCTGAAAAAGCAAGAAGAAAAGGTTTAGTATTTCAAGATGTAGTCCACCATGGTGGGGAAGTGACACAGCAGGAGCATGAGGTCACATTGCATCCACAGTCAGGAAGCACAGTGATGAAGCTGGTGCTCAGCTCTTTTCTTCGTTTTTTATATGGTCTAGGATCCCAACTGAAGAAACGGTACTACCCACAGTGGCTGGGTCCTCTTGCCTCAGCTAACCTAACAAAGATAATCCTCCACCTAGAGGCCAGTCTCCCAAATAATACAGATCTCATCAAATTGTCAATTGAGGTTAACTATCACAGTATTTTATGCACTTTCAAAATTGTGGTTAAAATAACATAAAATTCATCACTGTAACAATTCTAAGTGTGCAGGTCAATAGCATTAGTTATATCACCACTGTGTGCAGCCTTCATTGTTACCCATTCCCAGAACGATTTCTGTTTAGCAAGACAAGAACTCTGTACCTACTAAGCAACTCCCCATCCCCTGCATCCCCCATCTCTGGAAACCATCAATCTCCTTCATGTTTCTGTGAGTTGGACAACTCCAGGTGGTACATACTAGTGACCCCTATGATTCTGTGCTCTTGTGGCTTCTTTTACTTGGTGTAATGCCCTCAAAGCCCAGCCATACTATAGAATGTCAGAATTTCCTTCCTTCTTAAGACTAACATCACCTGCACGTCAGCATACTGCCTATGCAATGGATACTTAGGTGGCTCTTACCTTTTAGCTATCGTGAGTGATGCTGCTATGAACACGGGTGCACCAAAAACACTACCTTAGCATCTACAAGATGATATGAAAGAAGATGCTTCACAGAAGTAGATAGTTTACTGGAATGAGAACTGTTAAAAATCAGTGCAGGTTTGTAGAAAGGTATTGGCACAACATTACCCTTAGAAGAACCTAACAGGAGAGTCATTCGCTCATGGCCACAGTCAGCCATGGTGGGGCTCTGAAGTAGAAGGACATTAGGAAATAACTGCCATGCCTAACACGATGGTGTTTCTGAATGAAGAAGAGAGACATTCTTCAGGTCAACAGGACAAAAGGAGTTTCTAACTCTTATAGGTTTGCTTGGTGGAGGGAGAACAAGTTCCATACCACTAACCTAGCCGAGGCGTACAGAGGCAGGCACCAAGTAGGACCATAAATTTATTCTGTATCTGAAAGGGGGAGGAAAGAGCTGCAAGGCCACAGCCCAGGTTCTTATCAACTCAGTCTGGGGAGGGAGCGACTACAGGAGGTGTGATCTGAGTTCTAGAAGAAAGAAAACAGAGAATCTGTAACCTAACAAAAACGAGGAGAGTCTAGCAATCAAACAACAGCAGGAGAGGGAATACGAGGCTAGAACAGCAGGTGCACATTGGGAGCCAGAAGGCAAAGGCTTTGGCATACCCTGTATATGGGGGCACATTACTACGTTAGGAGCCAAGGCTGGAGAAGTATGTCCAGGAAAGGCTTCTCATTGCCTGATTTGTTATAGTCCTACCTCTCCAAGAGCCAGCTCTGGTCCTGGCCAAGGGCATCAGACCACAAGTAAAAGGCTATTGAATGGGTGCACACGCTGGCAGACCAACCCACAAGCCTCCCCACAGCCCACCCTGCCTTTCTTTTCATCCACTCTGCCTCAGTGTTGGTTAGGGTTATCTCTGGCTGCTGAGCTGTAGTAGGGTTATGGCTTTGGGGCTTTTCCTTGTTGACTGAGAATTCACTCTGCAGTTCTACCAGAGTGGGTTTGGGTCTGGGGTCTGGAGCATCACAACAGCAACAACACCACCAGAACAGAAGCCACTAGTGGACCACAGAGTATCAATTCTGCATTTCAGAAAGGGATTAAAGTGGGAGGTAGGGAAGAAAAATAAGCAAGGGTATCCAACTTTTGACATTGCGACATGACTTGTCATCTGCCATGTACAATTGAGTTAAAAGAAATCTCATGTTTTCAGTTCTGTGTTTGGTGGTATTCGCAGCTAACCTGAGCTTCGTGCAGCCTTGGACTGTGGACTGGACCCAGCTGGGAGAAGAGCAAGAAAGACTAAGGAAACAGACTAGTGGCAAAGGGTAAGAGGGGACGGGGGCTGGAGTGTAAAATGAAATGGGAGAAAAGCACTTTATCTAGCAACATAGGAGTAAGAGCAACATAAAGAACTAATCACAGGAGCCTGAGTGACAATGAGCCAGGGTTGACTTTCTAGAGGTAATTATGAATTATTGGGTCAGATATAGTATCTCGAATCAGGTTAAATCTCAGTCCTGGTACCCAGCGTGCCTCAACCTCTTTGAGGCAGGTTCACTGCATGAACAAAGACATACTAGTTTACTTTTCAAACAATAAAAAACAGTTTTTGATTAAAAAAAAAAACTCAAAATGGTTATGTACTATTCAGAATAAATGAAAATGTTAATAAATAGAAGTTATTTGTTTTATAAAAGGAAATAGTTTCCACATTCCATGGTCCATTTCCAGAGAAGACTTATTTACTCATCGCTGGACTCATTTGTATCCACAAAGGAACGGAAAGTCTCCTGGACAGATCTACCCAGTTGTGGTCCTAAACCTTTGGCTGAAATCCAGAGAAGCAAGATGGCTTAAACAAACCTTTTCTCTGGATTTGATGAGTGCCGTCAGGTGCTTCAGCACCAGAGGCCCATCTAAGCTGTAGGTGAAGTTTACGTTATCGAAGACAATCACTCCTTCGTGGGGCCAGCCTGGGGGTGGGCGTTTCTGGTACTCCCAAGGTGCTTCTTTTTCGAGGTCTGTGTATTCGATCACCCTCTCCACAGAAATCATCTGAAAGAAACAAGGCACCCACTGGGGTCAAGGAAGAGAGGCGTGCTGATGGGTGCAGGTTCTTCATGTACACACAGCCCAGTAAGGGTCACTCGATTCTTTACTTCTACTAAGATGGCTGAGGATCTTGATAACTTATAATCTTGGTCCTCATCACGTCACACTCTGGCTCACAGGTAATCCCTTCAAGTTTATAACACGAGCAAGAGGAAGGGCTGGAGAGATGGCCCCGTGGGTAAAGTGCTTGCTATATAGGCATGGAGACCTAAGTTTAGATCCCAGAAAGCATGTAAAAAAAACAAACAACAACAACAACGAAAGAAACATGGCAGCATGCATCCATAACCTGGTACTAGTTGAGTGGAGACAAGCAAATCCTAGGGGCTCGCTGGCTAGCTAGTCTAGCTAAAATGGTGAGTTGCAAGTTCAATGAGAGATCCTGCCTCAAAATGAAAGATATTGAGAAAGGCATCTGACATCAATCTCTGGCCTCCATGCATGCACATGCACACACAGATACATAGACATAGACACAGACCCAGAAACGCACACAGACACACACACATACACAACCACGAAAGAGGAGTTTGTAAAACAAAGTATTCATGCCCTCCAGTCAATAATCTCTTGCTACAGAGTGGCCACTTGCTATATATTAGTTAACTCACACATCATCAAATCTCACTATTTTACTGTAAGAGAAGGGAGAAATGGAAATAGCTCGTGTTATTATTTATCTCCCTTAGGAGTAAATATTTTGAAGAAGTAATTCATATAGTGATTAAACCTTCCACAGTCATAGCCTGATGGGGGCTTGCCCTAGCAGGAATGAACAGCAGCAACCCCAGGGCCTCCTGCCTCCTGCTCCCACACTTAGGAGAAGAGATGCTAAAATTGATGGTGAGAGGTGGGAATAGTGGAGTGGGGAGAGCTATTAATTGAACAACCAACCTCAAAATACTGAATTCCTCCTTAACCAAGAACGAGGAATTACCCATTAAGAAACAAAAATAAACAGGCCTCTAAGAAATAAGCTTATGTCCTTTCTAGCATTTGAGAACTTCCCTCCTACAGAGGCATTTATTACATTTGAAGACAGCTTGTGATGAATCTAAAACCTGCTGACATAGCATACATGAGACAGAGAAAAAGATGTATATATTTTATTTTACATTAACATTAAACAGATGGAGGCAGGATCTGAAAAAAACTCTGTTAGCTACGATGCAAAAATAACAGTTTTAATATTTTACATAAGAATTGCCTTTATGGCATTTAATGGAAAAGGAGACTTAAAAAGGCCAAGAACTTTCAGATAAACATTACCATATTCTCCACTTCGGCACTTTGTCTCACAGACCACTGGAACATCCCCATGAGGGTAAGGGCGTAGGACAAGGCCAAGCCAACCTGCCCAGCATCCAAAGCTTTGTGAGGAGAGAGGAGAGAATAGTCAGTCTCACTCGTGACCTGGGCCTCCCCCTTCTGCCACCAAGAGGACTCAACAAGTTGCATATAACAATAGCAACAGTTATACCTCCCCTACTATGAATTCAGAAGGATTATTAGATGGGTTTATTAATCTCAGGATTAACACACATTTGAAAAAGGGCATTATACCTCTGAGGTACAGTCATTATTCAGACTCATCATATTATGGTTTAAAGCGTGTTATGTAATCCCACTTTCTACGTCCCACGCAACCACAGTTGGAAACCACTGAAAACAAGATGGTATGTTCTAAGAGTCAATGCTTTTGAAAGCAAAATAGGACCTTCATTGTTCTATTAATAAATACCGTAATTGAACTTTGTCGTTGTAGAGGGAGTTACGCATGGCGAATCCATGCCACGCATGCCAACACCTGCTCGCTTGGTACCCACCTGACCAGGAGGACAGTGCTTTTTCCTACTGTGAATCTTTTTCAGCTGTGTATGCAAGCACATCAACAATCCAAGAAGCCCCAGTGTTGAGACCTAGAATCCTAAGCTGGACCAAATACTTAACAGTAAACTTGGTTCTGACCTCTGACTACCAGACCAGGAATGCTCAGCATAGTATCTGCACAGACCTCAGCCCATTCCAACAAAGATAAAAGGACCCAATAAGACCCTCTCCATGGGTCACACTGTAGGATCCTTTCCACCCTGACATGCGTGAACACTTTAATACACTTCATTAGAACCAAACAGAATGTGCCATTAGACAAGGTGGCAAGAGTTTAATTTAATAACTGTAAACACAACTATAAATTGTAATCATACCATAAATAGTTATTCACATCTGCACTTACTTTTTGCTAGAATCAGGGACCCAAAGGCAACAACAATGACAAAAATGGCACAGATGGCATCCAGGCGCACGGCAAACCACCTCGACGTCGTCAAAAACAAGAACCAAGCCTCTGGATTTGTGAACCACAACAAACACAGTAAGTAGAAAAGCTGTATAAACTTCAGTGAATGTGACAGGCAATGAGATGTTCACACAGAGTAGGGCAGCAAGGTCGCACACTGGAAAGTTCTAGAAAGCTAGGAAATACAAAGCAATGTATGGCACATATCCAAAATGGCACAGCAACTTTGCAAGAAAATAAACTGAAAGATAACTAAGAGGCAATGTGCAGACATACAATTGTAATAAAGAACATGGAGTGGTCTTATAAATATATTTCTTGCAGTACTGGGCCACAATACAAAGTTCACCAGCTTATAGGTTGAGTGTTTCCAGCCGTCCTACAGCAAAGAGCACAGATCTCAATTTGCTTCCAGTGCTTTCCTTCCTTAGAGGCTCTATACATGTTAGGGAGGGTCTATATCTGAATGACTAGTATGTAAAAGGAATTACATACAGTTTTTAAAGTGCTATTTCATCATCGAAGCATAACAAAGATAGGGTACATTTTACAGATTTGAAAGAAAGTCTGAAACTTCTAAATAGAAAGAACCTTCACTGTTTACAAAGAATAACATGTAACAAATGGACGGCAATAGGATCATTAGGAAACTGATTTCATCAGTCATGTTTGTCACCCTGTATATTTCAATTGAATTGTTATCAATGTATGGTCCAAGAACCAAGAAGGATCTGGCACTTGTTTTTTTTAACTAAGGTTTTATCGGAACACAGACAACAGCACTGTGCTGATAGGCTGTCAGTGCTTGCTTCCACACTACAGCAGGGAAGGCGAGAAGGCTGGGGGCAATACAGAGCTGAATGCTGGAAATATGTGCTGGATGGCCTTTTGCAAAAAAATGTTTCTTGACCCATGGCATAAAGGGACAGAAAGGCACTGGGCACAAAAGTGGAAGGACCATGCAAGCCAGTCGAGATTCTGAGAGGACCCAGTCTAAGGGCAGATGGAGAGGCACATTTGCTAAGGTGGGGTTGTGTCCAGGAGCAAGCAGAGGTGCTGGCCATCAAAGCCAATTAAGCTAGAGGGCTCAAGCCTGAGGGAGTAGCAACTGCCAGCCGTTGAAACCACTTCCAGAAATGTACAGACCTGAATGTAAGTCCTGGTGGGCATCAAACAGTTCCTGACACCTTTCTTCAGCTTTATACGCCCGGATGGTCCAGAGTCCCTGGAGGGAAGATGATAAGTGGGAAAATACGGGGCTCCGTGCTGCAGAAACAGAGACACATGAAACAGGAAGCTCAGTGAGGCTGCCTTCCATCCTACCATGCAGCACACTCCAGGCTTCCTAAAAGGCCTTGAGTTTCTGGCAAAAGGCTCCCAGCAGTCTGAAGAAGACCCTGTTCATCCCCCCTCATAGCCAACTATGCCTCACTTTAAAGCTAGAAATGAGTTTCTCTGTTCAGCTCACCTTTGATCAAATTCAGTCTAGTTACTGTTTCCTTTGCTGAGCCATCCTTCAAGGTCTTTTCTTCCATATATTTCCCAGCTATCTCTTTAGGCAGAAATTATTTTTCGTTGATTTTTTTCTTTTTTGCCAATAATGTTCTAAAAAGTAGTTTTGTCAGAGGACTCATCATAACAAATTACAGTGAGATGTGTATGCATGTGCACACACTTTGGCTTACTCATTTAAGGGCCAGCATATAGTCCTTGTTTCCCATTAACTAAAAAGCACCTGGCACAAGACTGACAGTCGGTGAGTAAGTTGAATGGGCAGGCGGTCACCTCTGTGCAAACTGGGGAAGCTTCCTCTGGCCAAGAGTGTGAAAAGAGCCCTTTATGGCCGCCATGCACCTGGGGCGGGGGTCACACTGCACTTTTGCCATGGCACTTGCCCAGGTAAGACATCTCCATATTGGCCTTGACTTCAAGCCTCCAGAAGGGAAAGATGCCCTTAAAATCATCCAGATGGAAACCTATTCTCAGGTTTGGAGGTTAGTATGGCTGTGTCAGTGTCCTTATTTTTTCTAGAATCTGACTGTAGCCTCAGTGGCTTCATCATTTGTTTTTCTTTTTTGTCTTTTTGAGACAGGGTCTCCCTGTAGCCCCAGCTGGCCTGGAATTCACTACGTAGACCAGGCTGGCCTCGAACTCAGAGAGATCACCTACCTCTGCCTCCCAAGTGCTGCGATTAAAGGCTACCATGCCTGGCTGGCTTCATTATCTTAACAGAGTTTAAAAGGCAAATTCTTTTTGTCTGTCTTTGTTTTGATTTGGGGCATACATGATATCTCACAACTGGTTTTGTGTTTCTCCTAAACTGTATCATGAACACTAGGCTCTACCCTGCCTGTGGCGAGACATGTGGGCTGTCCACTGTCAGGCAGAGATGGTTTCCTGACAGGCTCATTTTGTACTGTGGACAAGACTGTACCAGGGCTGGAGCGGATGGAAAGTCTGTGACCCAGCTTGATGTCTTTAACTGAGATAAATCATTTATGTTTTTTTAAAAAAATGTTTTTATTTTTATTTTTTAATGTGTATGATGAGTGTATTGCCTACATGTATTTAAGTGTACTGGGTGCGTGCAATGCCCTCCAAGGTTAGAAGTGGGCATCAGATCCCTTGGAACTGGAGTTATGGATGGTTGTTAGCTGCCATATAGGTGCTGGGAACCAAATCCAGGTACTTTGCAAGAACAGCAAGCACTCTTAACCACTGAGCCATCTCTTCAGTCCCCCTTGGTGTGTTTTTCTGAGAAAGGGTCTCATATAGCCCAGGTTGGCCTCAAATGGACTATGTAGCTGAGGATGACCCTAAGCTTCTGATTCTCATGCCTCCGCCTCCAGAGAGCTCAGATTACAGCATGCACTATCATGCCCCAGTATGTGGTACTGGGGATAGAACCCAGGGCGTAGTGTATGCTAGGTAAGCACTCTACCACCTGAGCTACACCCCCACTCCCTATTTATGCTTTATGCATAGAACACTGATGAATCATTATGGCCTGTCCATCATCTAGAGAAAACCTGCTGCATGGAGAGTTTGGGGGAAGTAGTTTTATAAACTACATGGCTGCATGTAGTTTATGAAACCATGAGGGGACACAATCATGGGTAAAACTCAAGACTTATTCTCTGGGGTAGCCCAGTGCCTGACTGTGTGAAAGCACTGTCTAACATAGATGTGCTTACTATGCACATAGGTGCCATATGGATTGGTGGGAGGGTATGTGCTAGGATACACATGTGCCAATAAACAGAACCATCTTGCAAGTCAAAAGTCCACAGATGCACAAATAAGGAAGAAATTGATTTCCAAAGAAAAGACCCTGGCTGGGGTCAGAGGAGATGGGCAGCCTTGTCAATTTGCCTGCTGACTACCTGCTTCTCTCTGAGACTCTTTCCTGCCTGTGGATACTAACTGGACAGTAAGAATCCTTCCCTTGTGATACTGCTTTCTGAAGGAAAGGTTGCCCTGAGCACAGATTTGCCAACCAGGACTTGATTGTTGAAGAGCCTGGGTGATCCGGGGGTGGCTCTGATGGCCCATCTGTAGGCTTCTGTTCTCACTCTGACATCCATGCTACATCTGCTCCCCAGTACACGAATTAAATGGCTAATTCTTATTTTATTAGCTTCATTTAACTTTGTATTTTGAAGATGGCAATGGAGACTTAAGTGGACTAAGTTCAGCCTCCAAATAAAAGAGTTAGGATCTCCCATCAGTCTTTTCAGTAGGCCTCAGAGGATGCGCCACCTGCCATGGACTGTCACTCTGCACACAGGGTGTATGCACAGATAACTACCCAGGAGATCCCAGGCTCCACTGAACCAGCAGAGCGCCAAAGAGTCTAGCTCTGGAGAACCCAGAGAACTCATCAGAACTGTACCCTCGGTTCCAGGACAAGGTGCTAGATACTGTGACGTGAACACTGTTCATCACAAGTGATCCTATGAGGAGGAGGCTGGTCACCATAGGTCCTTGAAGGAATGTGCCAGCCTGGCCATCCTTACTTGCTTCTTGTCAGATCAAAGTCAGCACTGGATCTCAATGGCTGAGGTTGGGAGCAGGGCCTATTTTAGAACTCAGGTGTCACCCTACTCTCGGACACTAGAAAACTCAAGGTCAAGTTCTGTATTTAAATGCATCCTAAGAGTTAGTTTTAAAAAATTAATTTCCACATGTGCACTGCCTTTGGTCGTGACCAGCAAGGACTTCCAAGCATTACCTGGGGCAATCTTGATGGGAACCCCACAGGGCGGGTATTACTATAGCCTTCCCAAAGGGAAGAACACACTTGAGGTGCTGAGGCCACTGCTCCAAAGTAAATTAAGGGAGCTACTGGAGCTGGGTGCCAGATACAAGGTATTTTTAACCTAAGCCACAGTATCTCAAAGGGAGAATAAGCCAAGGTAAAGATTCTCATGCATCATTGGATATATTTTTCTCTAGACTTTGTCACAAAGAAAACTCCTAAATCTTACTAGGCTAATATCTAATAAGTATCTCCATTATTGGACTTATTATGCACTCCAAGTTGAACAATCTCTCTGAGAATCTGACATGGGAATACTCTAAAATAGTAGACTCAAGAATCTTATTCTGAAATATGTGGCATAGGTTTAAACTCTGTTACCCAGTGCCCACAGCAGACATTGCTAATTGATCATAGAACACTAACAGACAGAATCCGAATATGGCCTCTCAATATAGGCATTAGTAAATGAGAGTTGGCTAGAGAAATTCAACGAAGTACCACTGAGGTTTTATGTACTTCTCTACCAGTGGCAGTTGAAATGTTTGCTTTTACAAAAACACAAACAAACAAAAAATAAAGTAATTATATCAAACTCATAAAAACTGCTTAAATATCCAATTATGAATCCAGAGGTAGTTAGCCAATTCAATCTGAAAATCTTACAGCTCTAAAAATCTGTGAAAACACAAGAATGAGGCAGGTTTATGCCTACTTCACAGAAAATGGGGGTCTCGGGGGGGGAAGTCTTCCTTCTGTTAATGATCACAGCAGGGGTACCCCAAAGCACCATAAATTGTTGCTTAATAAAAGAATGTAGCTGTTATTTGTGATGCAGAGCCTCAACCAGACAGACAACAAGAAAGGGTTTGCCTGGTTGCAGTTAGGTAGGGTACTGGACATGAGTTTGATTCCCAGCACCCTGTCAGTTAGTTCACAACTGCTTATAACCCTAGATCCAGAAAGTCTGACATCTTCTGGCCTCCACAGGTTCACACATGCATGTGTGCATACACACACACATAAATAAAAGTAATTTTTTAAAGATTACAAATATCTCCCTTCTTATTTTTGGGCTGTTGTCCTTATATATCTTTTCTTCAAGTAAGGATTCTCTGAATATTGTTTTTAATTTTAATAATAATGAAATACACTTGTGTGCTTATGAGATGCGATCTTGATTAGTTCACCTTTTGTGATAATCTATAGAACAGAGTGATTCATTATAAAACATTTTCCTTCTTATTCCAAAACTAGGGAGTTAAATCACACAACACACTAACTGCACCCTGCACTGATTTCTGTCCTTCTGCTCTCCAAAGGGGATCATATTCAGCATCCATTTATATCAACAGCTTAAAAGCAAAAACATAAATGTCTGTGTGACTTTATACCAAGTACCACAGATAATCAGGAGCAAAGCCAAAAGTGACAGTGCTTACATTTCCAAAACATTCAACAAATCTATTACTAATGCTAAGTAAAATTGTGTTTTTCAAGTCCTTTACTACTGACACATGAGGACATTTCTGACACTTGCTCCTTTCTTTTAATCTATTCCTTCCCTTGACATATCCAGGATCTTCCAGAAAGAAACATTTCCTGATTACTTTCCTTCTAAATTAGTTCCAACAACATAAATATTTTATTTATTAGAAAAGCACTTGTGTGCCTGCTTTGTGTATGTAAGGAGGTATGCCATGAACAGAGCAGTCCCTGTCCTCCAGGGGAGTATTATGCACTCCTTTCTCATGTTAAGCTGCAAGGTCACATTTGGCAAGCCACCACCTCTACTTAACCTAAGGGCCTCAATGACTCCTGGTGGACATAATACCAAGTTCAATTGTCTAACACTAACCAATTGAGACCTGCTAGAGGAGAGTCAGACTGCAAAATTTCACAGCTTTCCTTAATGACAGCTCTCCTTAATGATGGAATCTTGATGCATCACCATACCCACCTGAGACCCTCAGCACTTACTTGAAGACTCCAGACGTTTGACATCCCTTGATGTTTCTAAGAAATATCGCCGAAGAAACAAGAAAATGATGGCAAGTGGAACCAGGGGTATTGCAATCCAAGGAATCACTGCGGCCGCTATAGCTATCACACTGATCACCAGTAGCAGCGTCTACAATAACAAAAACAGACAGGGCCTGCTTAACAAGAGCTTGTTTTAAAATGAAACATTAAGAGACCATCCTTTCCTCACAAAGCCTGGTTGGACTTTCAGGGAATGCTTTCTATCACAAGAATAACAAAGGTATAGGTGATACTATAACTCTACCAACAATGTCTTTGTTATTTCCTTCTGTGTGTGGGCAAAGGATGCCTCAAAAGTTTTTTGGTTTTGTTTTGTATTTTAAATCATTCCTAGTCCAGTGCCCCCAAGCTGATACACATGAAAATTTCTACCACTGGAGGAAGGATTTGAAAGTTCTATTTTTAAGGACAATAGCAACAGCAGCTGTTGTTTGTCAAGCACTGGCGTATGAAAGGCACCATGCTAATAGTTCTATGGGTGTAAGGCTTTATTATCTCTCTCTGAGGTGACTGTATCCTGGGAAGTAATCTTAGCCTAAAATCACAGCAAGGGGAGCAGAAGCCCAAGTGACTGGATGATGCTACCCTAAGACACCCATCTTTGTCAGAACAAGTGTGAACATGGTCTTGACTTCAGGTGGTAAGACTGCCACTTAGCTCCACTTGCTAAGGAGGCACAACACTAGCTCCTTGGGGAGGGGTGAAAGTGGAGGAGCAAAGGAGTCACAGGGTCTGGTCCTGAGTCTCTGAGGTTCACAACGGTACACAACACCTGACCTCTGCAGAAGGTACGTGAGCTAAGGAAACACACAGAGAAATGGGCCAACACTGTGTGGAGGGTTCCTAAGAACATGTCACCAACTACCCATGTTGGTGTCATGGATGGATGCAGGCAATCAAGTGTTTGCCACACACACTCAGCCCAATCACCTCACCCTAGCCCAGTGCCCCCTGGCATAGATCCAGGGAGATCATGAGGTAACACTTTACAGAGACCCCATAGCATAGATCCAGGGAGATCGTGAGGTAACACTTCACAGAGAGCCCCATGAGTGAATGGAGCTCTTCATATTTCCTCAGAGAAGCAGGACAACTGTGCTGTGGAGGCAAAAAGGAAGAAATGGCATGACCCAAACCCAGAAGTCCTGAGATCTGAGGAGAATCATCGTTTTGATAGACCTGTATCACATATGGGCAAGGCAGCTGGGAATTCTACCCATATTTTGTGATTCCACAGAAATAAATGCAAGCAAGTCTTGGCTGAAATCTGCCACTGAGTTGAGATTTTGCTTGTAATGAGTCTATAGCTTTCAGAGCATGGCAATCTAGACCCAGAGAAGAAATTCTTTAAGTCTAGTTCTGAGTTTCTGAACAAGCTTTGGAACCAGATCTGCTAAATATTATACAGGAAGGGTTAGACTCCATCTTTCTGAATCTTGAGAAAAACTAAGCTATACTAAGAAACTCAAAGTATGGTGGTAGGAAGTAAGAGGGATAACACACAGGAAATATCTAGCAGTTCATGTTTAACAAGAAAAAGTTACAATTGCTACCACGAGATGGAAAAGGACTGATGTAACAGAGATTTTTGGCCCAGAGATTTTTGTGACTATCACAATGTTAAGCTCAGTTGTGGTTTGAAAGTAAAATGTCTATAGGCTTTGCATTTGAACATTTGGTCCTCAGCAGGTGAAACTGTTTTGTTAGTTTGTAGGACCTTTATGAACTTGAGCCTTACAGAAGGAAGAGGGTAAATAGGACAGACCTTGAGGTTTTGTAGCTCAGCCCCACTTCATGTCCTCTCTCTGTTTCACATTAACAAGTCCAGCTTCTAGGGCAGAAGTTGGCATCAAGAAATGGGGTATTGCTGTGAAGGATGTGACCATGCATTTTTTGGGAGGGAAGTATTTGGAACTTCGGGCTAGAAAAACCACTTACTGCTTAGAGCTTTAATGGACTGTTCTATGGGAGATTGAAAGACAAGGATGTTGAGAAAGGTGCAGATGGTGGAGGCCTGGCTTGTGAAGTTTCACAAGGAAGCAAAGACTCTACCAGGGGGTATGTATGATACATCTAGGATTAACAATCTGTGGTAATGAAACCTTTTGTGCTTTACTGGACAGTTGATGCTACTTGGTTGGGACTGAAAAATCATCTGCCAATACCAAGAGACCAGTACCACTGAGATGAAATCTTCTGGGAAATATTTCCTCAGGGTGAATACATAGAAGCTCTGGTCCAGAGGGAGCCAAGGCTGCATCTCGAGGTAAACAAGTCAGACTTGGTAAGGTGTAAGAGTCTCCCATGTGGTACTGGTTTTGGTGGTATGAAAGCTGTAGAATTGAAGGGGTCATGGAGAGAAGCTGAGGCTTGGCACATGTGAGGTAGGAAAGGACACTGGTGAAGGTGCAGCCTCCATTGCAGTGGAGACCACAGCATATTGGAGATGCCTGGACCGTGGGATGACTACCAAGGACAGTGGTAGATGTGGAGTGGAGCCAGTCTGAGTCTGTGAGACAAGCTGGGTGTGCTGTGGATTGCAGAACTGGAGAATTGGAGCTGCACAAACCTTTTGGAGCCCAGAAGATCATGAGTGACTCTCAGATGCTGGATATTGACATACACTGCTAGACTTGGTTTTGCTTAAGTGTGTCCAGTTCTTTCCTTTAGAAATAAGAAAATGTTTAACTCTTAAAATTTTATTTTACAGGAGCCCACAGTTAAGAGACTTTATATTTTTAAAGAGAACTTGGACTTTTAAAGTGTTGAAAATTTGAAAGACCATGGGACTTTTGAAAAGCTGTACTGTGTTTTATATTATGACATTAAGTCGAAATCTTGGGGGCAAATAAGAAAAGAAAGGCAGTGGTTTGAAGTGATGTGTGTCTGTATGTGAAGAGGTGGTTGGCTTCGGTTGTCAACTTGACACAACTGGGAAGACGGAGCCTCTATTAGGGAATTTCCTCTATCAGATTGGCCTGTGGGCAGGTCTGTGAGGCATTTTCTTGATTGCTGAGTGATGCAGGAGGGCCCTGCAGGAGGGGTGGTATCACCCCTGAGCAGATGGTTCCAGTTTGTATAAGAAAGTAGGCTGAGCATAGGCCAGAGGCGCAAGCTAGCAAGCAGTGTTCCTGTCCTGAGTTCCTACCCTAGCTTCCCTCAATGATGAACGGTGATCAGGATGTGCAAGTCAGTGTTTTATCACAGCAAGAAAAACCAAATTAGGATACCTTCTCCTCCACAATGGACTGCATCACCTCAAGTTGTGAGCTCAAATAATCCCTTCCTCTCTTAAGCTGCTTCTTATCTAGTACTTAGCCACAGCAACAAGTAGCTAATACAGATCTGCAAGGCTGTTCATTCTGACTCCTAGGACAGCTTGGTACCATCTCCCAAGGACATCTTGGAGCAGTGCTTTGTTTCCCAACATACGGAAAAAACTGGCTTTTCTCTGTGATGCTTAAATTTTTGAACCTTTAATTATTTATTAATAATGTGCCCATTTATTTATTAAACCATTAATCAATTAATTTAATGAGTGTTATGCCTGCATATATGTTAGTACAACCACGTTGTACAACACCCATGGAGGTCAGGAGAGGGCTGAAAAATCAGATCCCCTGGAACTGGAATTAAGGATGCTTGTTAGCTGCCACGTGGGTGCTAGGATTTGAATCTGGGTTTTCTGCAAGAACAGCCAGTGCTCTTAACCGCTGAGCCATCTCTCCAGTCTCTCTCTGTGATGTTTAAATATCTTATTTGAGTGCACTTCTGGTATAAGGTGGCCACTAAGGCTCATGTCTACTAGAATTCCATTCTCTTCATATTTTTTCCCAACTCTAGGGATGATTCAACATTAAAAAAAAAAAACACATTTTCCATATCTCTGTTCTGTTTCAAATGTTACTTCTTCCAGAAGAATAATTACTGCTATGAAATGGCTGAGCATTTCTGGAACACTGAGGGAAGAGGTGGCAGATCTCTGAATCAATAGCACCAAATTAACTATAGCCACATTACAGTTAACATTTCAAACAGAAAAAATAACTTTTCAAAACAGATCCATTTGCTATCTCTTATTTGGTGCAGCATGAACTTGTATGTCAACAAAAGCAATACGAAACTTCTAATTCTGTACACTACTGAACCCCAGGCAAACAAACTGTGTCCATTGCAAAGGGCCTTTTCATGTAAGCAAACTGTCTTGTTTGGGTATCAGGACAATGACGGTAGAGACCCTAGTCACCACCACCTATGGAAAGATGTCTAATGTGTGCTTCATCCTCAGGAAGGATGCTGTTCTGGAAGGAGCTGTTTCCAACAAACCATACGTACATCTAAAAGGATTGTTCATGCAGATGCAGTATGAAAGAAAACATAATCCGTATGAAAAAGTTAACTGCTGTGTTTTACAAAACTGCCCAATGAAAAGTCAGAAAAATGAGACACTGCTTTACTGCCAATACCTAAGGCAAATGTCTTCATTAAATTGAGGGGGAAAAAAATGAACATTTTAGGTTAGCACACAAAATAGTGGGTTTTGTCAGGGGTTCTTCATACATATGTGCCATTATACTTTATTCTCGGTCACTCCTCTCCCCAGTTCCCTTCCTTTAACCCCATGCTCCCTCTACCACTCCAGCTGTTTCCATTTCTTCCCCCTGTTAATCCTCCCTTCTGCTCTCTCATTAAACACACATTCCACTGCCCTCTCTATTTCCTACCTCTCTAGGATCTCTTCCTTCCCTCTCAGAAGGAATGGTTTTAGACCTAGTTGACCACCAAAGGAAGGAACAACTGCTCTGTCCTCTGAAATATGGAAAAATAGATAAAATTTTGGAAGGCTTCTGCCCCACCTCAAGTATTTTGCATGCATTTCCTAACTACATTCACACATTTAATCTAAGTGGAAGGTCTAAAAGCTGCATTTTTCAAAAGAGCTACAGCTCACAGTGATATGACTGTCAAAGTCAGACAATACAGACTCCTTGATCCTTTGGTTTCTTAATCTCTGCATGGTAGTGTAACCATGTATGTATAAAACTCATATTTCAAAGGGCTGGGGAGAGGGCTCAGTCAGTAAAGCAT